GGTGGCGGCCATCTTGGATTTGAGGCACAAAATGGCCACTAATTGCTTCCTAATGATCAAAAATGGGTTCCTTGTCCCTAATTTAGTCAGGTTTGATAATCTATACATGTTTCTAGGCCAAAAATTAATGGAAATATGAAATATTTTATATTTTGGCACATAATTTGCATAATTTATGCTAATTAATGTATCGATAGAGGGCGTCTCTTTGGATAAAAAAAATTCTTTTGGCCCAAGGAACATTTATGCCAAGTTAGACATTTGTACTACAAAATGCAGCGTTTGGCCATTTTTTGGTCCTTAACAAGCCTACTACATAACAATTATTAATTTGTACAAATAACAACAAATGTGAATCTGTCAGAATAGCATCGTTTCTGTCAAGAAAAAAATTAATGCAGAATATATTTCTTAGACAGTGGACCATGGAAATTCTATTTACAAAAAAAAAAAAAAAAAAAAATCAATTTGTATTTATGACATTCTATTCTTCATACCAACAGATAAAAATTCATGCCAATAAAAGAATGAAAAACCTAATCCTTTGGTCTGTTTATCCCACTTTCTGCTGGTTTTGAACACAGAATCTTTCTTACATTCATTTTGTCAACTTTTTATCTCTATGCATCCCATGCTCACTAACCCTTCATCTCTCCTTTGTTGTTTACTATGACCCCCGCATTGTCTTCAAAGTATATGAACACCCCATCCTTCCGCCTTATGCTTTTCCGCTGCCGAACCACTACTGCAGGATGGACTAGAATAATAACATACGACTGCTACATTTAGAGACCCTGATTAAGTTAAGCATATCATGTATACCACAGAATACAACTTTTATGTGTTGCCAACACACAAAGGGGGAAGAAGACAATTTACCTCTCGCCACTATAAACCCAGAAGTGTTAACTAAAAATAGGAGGGTTAATATTAAGTGGGTTTGAAACAGCTGTTGTCAGAGCAGAAACAGCTAGCCAGTGCACCCTCTGCCACATGAAGTGTCTAAAATAGTTAGCTGGAGTTTGCACTGAACACAAAGTCTTGCATTTCAATTCTTCAAAATCCAAGAAAAAATTGCAGTTGTGATGCCTCAGATAAACATCTAAAATTGGAGGTCATCAATAATACCAGAAATAGATGCTGATTTGAGTAACAATCTTGCTTTAATCTTAATGCCAAACACAACTGAATTAAGTTTTTTTCCGGGTCTAAAACAATCCAATTTCATTAAAAAAACAAAAAAAACTAGATGATTAAAGAAGCTAAATGATGAACTGATAATAAACCAGTTGTTGGTGCTTGAATTTTGTACCCTTAACAAAAACATGGCTTATTCATATCATTCTTAAATGACACGGGGCAGGATCAAAGGTCATGACAGCAAGATATACAACATGCCACGGCCTCTGGCAGTTTGATGAAATAGTAAAATGAATCAACTTTGCTTGTGAATATATGTGTGGGAAGCCTCAAGTTGCAGGTGCCCTTCGGAAAAATACTGCTTTTTATTATCATCTAAATCATCCTAATCAACAGTCTCATATAAGAATGAAAATGTATTTTTAAGTCTTTAAGATAAGCATGCCCCTCATATTGTGTACATTTGTGCCCAACAAGACATTTCGATCCAAGTCTACTAACTAAGAAGATTACATTTTCTCATATGTGGCCGATCATTGCACTGTTTTGACTCACTTGACATGATACATCAATGACTAGACTTACCCTTTTTCCTTAATTCTGGCTTTCCTTTCTTGACTGTAGCCATGACCATGTCGCCACTGCCAGCAGCTGGCAGTCTGTTCAGACGACCTTTGATGCCTTTCACAGATATGATGTATAGGTTTTTACCACCTGGAAATATTGGAGACCATATTACAGTCTGACAAAACATTCAAACTAAGGCTTGTCAGTGCCTTGAGAATGACAATTGAAACTGTTAGCTAGGGCAAGTGTAGATCGTTTGATTTGTTTTGTTAAATGAATAGTCAAATTCTTTTCAGTTCCTCATCCCTGCTCCAGACTGGACTATAGTAACCTTGCATTTACTAACTATAATTACCACACTTTCTAGTAATTACAGACCAGAGATCAGTGCTGGTAGAATGCACCTTGACGCTCTTACACAAAAAATAAATTTTAATTACTAGTCATATGCAACAGCGCCTCTTGTTTTTTAAAAAATGGTTAAATACAGGGGTGTAAAAAAACATGTGAAAAGCACTGTACCTGTGTTGTCAGCACAGTTCATGACTGCGCCCACTGGCAGACCCAGGGAAATACGGAATTTCCCTCCGGAGGAACCTCCACGTCCTGTAAACAATTGTCACACGTAAGAATTGTAAAATTAAATAGCCATAAAAAATTGCTGAAAACGTGTAAATGTATTTAGAGCAGAACCCGAGCAACAAATTTCTCCCTACGAAATTTGAAGGGGGCAGGATCAAAGGTCATGACAGCAAGATATACAACATGCCACGGCCTCTGGCAGTTTGATGAAATAGTAAAATGAATCAACTTTGCTTGTGAATATATGTGTGGGAAGCCTCGAGTTGCAGGTGCCCTTCGGAAAAATACTGCTTTTTATTATCATCTAAAGTTCAATTTGTCCCGCAATACAGTTGGATTTCATTAGCTATGTTTCTATTCTTATATATAACGATAAAGGCAAGTGTCTTTAGGGTATATTAAATGTCGGATTGAGTGGATATTTGAAAACTTTCAACACAAACCTCTCTTCGACATCTTGGATTTTAGAAAGAGGAAGTGCAAGCTGCGCAGGCGTTCAACCTCGATTTCACTGTAAACGGAAGTTGGCTCCTAGGTCAAGGGAACAAGCGCTCCTGTTGGAGTTGAGCTGGGATTCGGTAGATAAAGAAGTTCTTTGAATACAAGTAAGTATTTTAAAGGCAACTTAAGATATTTGATATAGTTCAATTGTGAATTTGACGTACGCTACGGTTATCTCCTTTTATGGTATGTGAGTACTCACGTGGGCGGGGTTACCGCCATTTTGAAACCGATCCCACCGGTTTGAGTACAAAATTTTACGTTTTATTTTCAACAAGGTAAGTTTGGCGCTTGATTTCGAAAACTGCGTACAACAGTGTATATGTGATAATGATAAATCACTTAACAGAGTCCCAGCTGTGACTGATTTTTAGCAAGTGTCATTGACCTAATTTGTTGCTACTGGTACCTCGCTTGTCAATTTCTTCTAACACGAGTTTGTTTACAATAATTGATCCAGTAAAAAGCTGCATTTAGCAACTCAGGATAATTACTTTTATATGACTGTCCGCTGTTTTTAATCTCCATAAAGTACTGGGGCTGAAACAGGTATATTGAATAACTTTAAAGCTGATATCACTGCGTCAGGACTGAATACAGGTGACTTAATCATTAATGAATTTACCTTAACATGAGGTTTTCACACTTTGGACTAGCCATTAATGTTTCGCAAAAATCTAAGAATATACTAGTTGGCTTAAGTAGAAGTTAGTTTGCTAGCCACAATCTTATAGCATGACAGCTCTAAGTATTTTCAACAACTTTAATTTTTTTGCGTTGGTGTTGGTGTATATCACTGCAGTGAGTGTGGTGTTATAACACCTTTTGCCTTGACACTGTAAAGATCTGGAATAAATCAAAACGGCTCCCACACTAAATCCATCCCTAATACACTTTACCTGTAAGTTATAGATCATAAGGCCACAAGTGGAGCGATTTATAGATTGCACCAAGTGTTTCTAAATTTATAACAGAGAGATTACATAAAGTGGTGCTTAGTTTATAACTCTGCAGTAAGTGACCTTTTTACATAGTATACGTGGTAGAGAGGTTGTTGTCTGGTTGATTTTAAAGTTCTTTAAGCAGCCTGTGATATTACTCGTGCATTTGCACAAGCTGGTCTTTCTTATCAAAATGTATTGAAGACGTACTCAGACTTGGCTATAACACTACATATTTTATTTATTGCTTTTGTTCATTTCTAATTTGATTACTCTGAAATTCTGTTTTGTGAAGTTTTTATTCTTGCAAGACGATCAAATGTTGTACTTCATGTCATCAGTTTTTTTATATATATATATGTATTCCTATGTCATTAACACAGTTTAGCTAAATTTAAAACCCATATCCTTTGGTAAGTTGCGGCCAAATAGCTGTGTTACTTAAAGACCTAAAAGGGTTAAAGTGCATCTCGCAAGATTTCATTATCTCTAAATTCTCTATTTACCTTTTAGACAGCCATGTCTAACTTCACATCTTGTCTTCTTCAAGTTCTAATGAAATTACTACCCACTTCTCAAAGGTTGTATTAAAAAAAATGAAAATGCAATGTATTATGAGTGCATGTACTTGTATTCTGGGCTAATGAAAAATGGAGGAAATGAGGCCCATTAACAACTATTTAAAATGTTGGTAAGAAAGTTCCAAAGAAATATTCAGGACCTCAGATTTTTTTTAATTTACTAGCACTGATTTTTTGTGTATATGATTTGTTCAGATGCAAGAAGATAGGGTATATTGTGGTTAAATGTCTGGAGAGTGTCCTACACTATAAATGATGAAGGAGGATATCCTGTGATTCATCTTCTGTATGATAATCTTCAGAATATCTTCGACATTGTGATGCTATATTATGAGGAAAATGGACGTCAAAGAACTTTTACATAAGACCTACTAGTACATAAGTCATGTGGTTATATCAAATGTTTTAGGAACACATTAATGGCATGTGTCTCCAGAATTAAATGGTTTCAACCTGTGTTGATTTCGGGACTGATTTGATGAAAATCCTTTTGATTTTAAATTCAGGAAGAAGACTTGAATGCAATCCCCTATTGTGTAGTCAACATAGTCACTGAGTTAGTACAGTGGCAGTGGGTGCAATTAATTGTCTACTCCTTCAAATCGGAACCTAAGCTTTTACTATTGGAACAGTTTTGAACATAGCAATAGATAAGGAAATTATACATTAGGTTACATTGTTTCCAAATACTCCCTCTTTTCCTGTTTTGATTGCCGTTGATTAGGTATAAAAATAACCATCTATGTGCAATTTAGATTTGTAACTCCTTATGGCAAGATGCTATCTAATATGGCAAATTTGTTTAATGTGAACTATGAAATCGGCATGATGTCAAAAGATATAACTGAATGTAGCATAAATTCTTTCACAGGATATATTCTCACGTTTGAATGTTTTGGCATATAAAAATATTTCTGTACTATAATTTAAAAAAGACTGGATATTTATATTTTAAAAGACAATCTATCAAAACAATTTGGTATTTGGCACTATTGTTCTGCATTCTTCAGGTCACAACTTTACCAAACTTTGGACTTACGAGTAATAATTTACTTGCTGGATGCCATCTGTACATACCATGTCATGTGAGGAGACTGATTACAATTGGTTTGGAAATATTGTTACAGTAGACATCTGTGAGTGAAAAGGAAGTGGTATTGTGGTACAATTTTTTCTTTTGGATCTTTGAAAGAAGAAACATTGAGGAATAAAGCTTTTCAAAAGAAAAAAAGGAGGAAGGGTGAGAAGATGAAAGAAAGAAAATAAAATTGTTGGGTAGAAAATTGTAGTAATGCTGGAAAAGAGGACTGTTGAAGGATGGCTGGGGTAGCGATAGCAATTATTTTGCTTACTGCTTTTTCATGCTTGCTACTTTTTTCTCCTAATGGTTTAAAATGGTTTGACTAAAACAAATCAAATCAGCGCTGTTTTGATTAGCCAATTTAAGCTGGTCTGAGCATTTGGCCAAATTGGCAAGTGTTAGCACTCCGCCAGGATAGGATATATATATATAAAGAGAGCTCATCGTGCAAACTAAAATGATGTGGAGAGAGCACTTGGAAGATGAGGGGAAAAAAGTTTCCCTGTACTTTGGATGTGGCATTTTGTAGCTGGGCAAATGATGATACGAATGCCTTCCTCTTCTATTTATTATTTATATAAGCTCTTCAGACTTTTCAGCTTGTACCTGTCATTCCTCTAGAAATAAGTGGCATTAACCTTGACATTTCTAGGGAACCCCAAGTGCTTATCCTGGGAATATACACAGTACACAAACAGCCCATCAGTTGAAAAACATGATGTTTTGCAGCCAGTTTGTGTTTTATCCACTTCTAAGACCCCATAAAGATATATGATATTTTTAGAAAATGATTAATTACTTGCTTTGAACTTATGCATTCAAGTATATGTAAGTGGGTGTTATATTCTTATATGCAGGTCCTGAGGAATTTTGAAATCTAATTTATGTTAAGTCATGATGAATAATATATGTGATATGTATGACAGGTCTGAAGAATATTTTAAGTGATATATTCATCATAAACCAGACTACTAATTCCTTTATATTTTAAAATGACTCTTAAGTTACTCAAATATATTACCAAATCAGTGGTGAGCAGAGAGAAAAAAGGGTTTAAGTTTCATTATCTTGATTAGCATACGCAGATTATCTTTAAAACATTTTGTAAATATTTTCAATGCTAATGTCAAGCCTCTAAGCCAATGGAAAAAAGTATGTCCTGCATACTACAAGTCACACGCTAGTTGGAATTTGATCTGTCACAGAACATTTTGAACATACTAGTACTTATATTCTTCAAATTAACTAATATTATGAGGCAGCTCAAGTATCATATCAGTATCATATGACTATCATTTATGTAGAGTAGATATTTTATAAGTGCATAACAGTCATTGAGTAATATTTGTGTGTATTGCCTTGCCACCTTATTACATATAAACATCGGGACAATTGGAGGTATAGATGATTCAACAGGTATGCAAAGCGTGGTGTTCTTTCATCCTGGATCATGGGTGTAGCCCCTGTTTACCTGCCAAAATAAATAATACAGTGTTAATGCTCTAGACAAACCGACACACCGCACACCAATGGACTAGAAGAGAATGAGTTATTATTAGCTGCTCTGTTGACAAGTTAAGCCTTGTTTCCAGTCAATTTAGAACGGCTTAACTTAACACTTTGTGTCTCAAAAGATGAGCATGATAAAGCTCCTACTGTTGGAAACGTCACCTGTGGTAAATTTTTTTGATAACTTGTCTGCTGATATTATTGATTGAGGTCAGTTTAATTGCATCGAATGGAGTCCTGTTTTCATACCCCAGGAATCTGTATACTGTTTTCTGAATGATATGAATATTCACAATAAAACTTCCCTGAGTTAGTTCATTAGTTCAATTGCCAAGCTGCTTTGTCATTTAAATAGTCCCTGCTATTTTCAGCACAGCAGCTTTTACAAATTGGATGTACTTGTTGACTGTGATATTCCACTTTGAGACACCGCCCCCCCCCCCCCCAAACCTCAACCTATCTCGTTCAATTTCAAATCTAAACCAGAAAAGTTCTCAGAGAGAGAGAGAGAGAGCAATCCTCAGCCAGTGCAGTTTATTTCTCATTTTTATTACTAATAAAGTTAAATGTGTAATTGATCTAAACCTAATTCATTTTCAGTTAGCCCATTTCTGACCTGCCCTAAAAATTTTATCAATATCTGCCCATTACTTATAGTATTAGACCGTCAACTACCAAACCAAAGAAGGCGAAAAAATTCCTTGGCAGAGGCAATAATTAGATTAATTTGTCAACTTTGATGTCCACTTCAAAATCCGTGTCAGCACATCAATTTAAGGCTGTCCAACATGTGTTCAAAACGCCCAGTTGTTGTCACCAGCTGCTCTTTAAGGCCCAGTAGAAGTAAATATCACAGATATCAGCATGTTGGTCATCCCGATTAAATGTCATATTTGACATAGTTGAGTGTAGCGGAGTTGCCTGACAAGCTGCATTGACTGTGGTATGAGTGATTTGCTGGTAATTAGCTCTTTGCCTGTCCCAGTTAGTGCTAATCTTGGCTATGTAGTTGACTGTTAGAGCCCTTTTTCTCTAGGGTAAATTTAAATTTAAATTTGGCAAAATTGACTAAGATTTTGGCTTTTTTCAGAACATTGAATTCACACCTAACCATTCCTAGAAAAGAGATGCAAAGCGTATACCTCTTCACTGCCAAGTGTACAAAATAAGTGGGGTTTAACCCATACCCAACTCTACCTTCCTCCCATCAAAAAGAAATTTGAGAGAGAGAGAGAGAGGTTGGGGGTGGGCCTGGGGGTAAATTTTATGCAAGTTTTAGTGGTAAATGTTTTATGGTTTTACAGTTCTGACAGTGCATTATTCATAGTACATAGTGCTTCTGAAGATAATAATAGTAGTAAAATGCCCTCAGTGACCCCTGTCCCCTGTCATTGTCACAGTGAGAGTGGATTTATAACCACAGTTTATGAAGTCTAAAAGGTGGTCAGATAAAAAGAGATAGAGAACTCACTATGTTTATAATATGTCAGAAACATTTTAAGATACTGTTGATGGCAAAGCAGAAATGCAACAGATGGGGGAGAAGGTAATTTGTTCTTCATCAAATAAAAAGAAAGGCAATTGTTGTCCATTAAAAGGCTGAAGTATGCTGTGTTGAAAACATTCACACTTCATAAGTTGTTAATAAAATTTTGAATTAGAATTCAATGTAATGTACAGAAACAATTTATCTCATCGTATTCCGATCTATCTATTTACGTCTTATAAAACCAAGTATCCTAGTGCAGGAGATTCCCCCTCTTTTTCGATCAATTCCAGGTCATGCGAGTCATATTTGGAATTTATAGTTGGTTGCATGAACCAGTCAGGTTTAAATTTACTACTAATTAAATGTTTATCATAATACTGTTTTCTATTTTTTATCTCTTTCCAGGTGTCCTTCTAGTATCTAGGGGTCTCGTAACAACAAGATGCCAATCAAGAACTGTGGAAAGTGTGGGAAGACAGTGTATCCCACTGAGGAGTTGAAATGTTTAGACAAAGTGAGTCAAGGGTCATTCCTCTCTCTCTCTCTCTCTCTCTCACACACACACACACACACAAACACACACACACACACACACACCATTCCCTCTGAAAATTGAAGTTTGCATTTCTCTTTAACCTCTTCCTCTTGTATGAATTTGAATTGGCTGAGTTTTCTCTTCAACCCTTCTCACTCCTGCGTGAAACTGAAATGTCTGATTTTTTTCTCAAGGTAATTGAATGATTTGAGGGGCACCAGTAAGCACAGTGTTTACATATCAACGGGGGCGGGTTGTTATTGTCAGAGCACATCATTGTGAGGTGTCTTCTTTAAATTGATGGCAAGCTTCAGTGATCAGCAACTGTGTTGGGTAATATAGGTTTGGGTTTTATGATCCTTTTTGGTGAAAAATAACACCAGGAAGGTGGGTGGAATTGACCCCTGAATGGTGTAGGGATAACGAGAATGAAGTTGTAAGTGTCTCTACAAATCAGCCTGAGTCCTCTTCAGATGAAATTGCTGCTGGGATCACATTGGCATAGTCAGAATTCGAGCCTTATTCTAATTATGTTCTAATTACGCTGGCGATAAGTGGGAATATGAAATTATTTTTTGTCCAGTTTATCATTAATTCTTTGTGAAATGCAACTTAGTTTGCTAAGATTCGTAGCAACCTTTGCTAAAACTGAATCAGGTTGTGAAACAGGTCCCAAAGACACATATTTGGCTGGAAGAAAGTTTACCTTAGAGTGAACTCATAGCTGTTATCGTCCATTCTCATACCAAGAGGAGTCTGACCAAAGCCAGAAGTCAACTGACCTCGGTGATATTTTCAAGTTGAACATTTTTGAACTCATTTGATCCATTATGACCTAGGGCTGTGGTTAGAAGGGTTTTGGCAAAATGAATTCAGTTGAACCTTTGGGGAGCAGGTGCTTGATTGTAAGTCTGTGATGTGAATAAAACGTTCTATTGATGGTTCTATCTTCATGTGGGATCTAAATCTATTTAGAATCTAGTGAAATCTCATAAGGGGGCATATCCTTTCGGGTATATCCTTTAAGCAGTCTGCACAAGAAAAATTCATCTTCAATAAAATTTCGGCCAGTCTGACCAAACCAGTAACCTTGAAAAAAAACCTAATTTAGAGTATCAATGAAAGTCAAGGTGTTGGACTGAAATTAATTTTCTTGATCTCATTGGATATCTGCAAATTATTTGTGGAAGCACATCCCTCCTTCAATAAGACTGGTCTTTAGAAAAATTGATTCTCCTGATATGAAAGTTGTTAGGTAGGTCAGCATGGGTCAGTAAAACTGATGGACCTAGCACGCATGAAAGTTCAGACTTTTTCATAGTGAACTGACCATTTGGAAATGTCTTTAGAGCAGAAAATTTTGTATCTAAGTAAGATAAATGTTTTGACTGTCTAGTGATAGGGTGTGCTCTCTGCAAGTTAATGTGGTTCCCAGTGTGGAAAGTAATCGTCTTAGAGCAATTTGAATGTCCGGAAGCAGAATGAGCAAAGAGCTCTTGTTATTATGTTACTAGCAGCTTGCTAGAATTGTGAACATGTCCATAAATGTTATCAAATCATCGTTGAGCAATGAAAATGTCTAACAGCAGTAGAGTGACAGATTTCTTTGTATTTAGTTATGATTGAGAATTGCAAAGTGCTTTATAGTGTGTTAAGAGATCCTTATCCTCTAGCAAGGGCAAGAAATTCCATAGAGGACAATATTGAAGGGAGTTTACACTAAGAAAAAATGGACATGCTCCTGGTTTACACAAGTTTTATATCAGTACACCTGCCTACCATTTTATCTTTTTTAAGGATTACGAAAGCATGTGCTATCCTCTGCGTGAGATATATTCCTGAAAAAAAAGTCAGCCCACCTGGAGACATGTAGGATATCCGCTTTTTCTGAACTTACTAAATACCAGTTGGACCACACCAGGATTTCACCATAAGACATGCCAGTTTGTTTTAAAATGTAAATGTTGCATTGGTCTTTCCCAATAGTAAAATGTGCCATAACTGGTAGAGATTGTTCTCAACCTTCCTGGCTAGTTCTTATCTGTTGGGCAATTTATTTGGGCAGTTTACAGATTCCACACTATGAAAACATTCTTTTACGTGAAATTTTATGGGAGGCAGATGAAACATTTTGGAAAACTAATGTGCAGGAATGCACACCTATAGTAAAAGGCCGATTTAGAAAGGAGGGCATCATGGGCTGAAAAGGGTGGAGGCAGAGTTATAATACCCAAAATAGATTAAATTGAGCTAACACAATGGTCTACAGTGAAAAAATTTTATAGGTGTTTACTGAAGAATATCAGAGAGGCATTGTATCAAAACAAACAGTTACACACATAACAATTTTTTAGGAAAAAATGAAATGAGGTAATGTTTTTGGAAATTTTAAAGGTGGCGTGAGGCAGATGCACACAAGGTGTTGGTAGTTCATTTAACAGCTCACCTTAGCTCTGTTTAACCTTTCCATTAGTACCCATTTCAGCCCCTTTAAATTCACTTATTGTCAGTAAAAATACTGAACACACGGTGGTGAGCAGCCTGAGCCTGGGAGTGTGTCCATACATGGGGATTTTTCTTCTTTTGGGAGGTTTTGTCCTTTTGCAGTTTCAAGGAGTTTAAACATTTAGAATGTTGAGACTAGTAGGATATATATGAAATGTGCAAATACAAGGGGAACTTCAGAAGGGGGCGGGGTCCTTTAAACTCTTTTAGTAGTACGCTTTTCTTGAATGAATTTCAAATTGTTTACTAGTACAGTAATTGAGTTTTAGTTCTTTCTGACTATGACTTAAGTCAGCATATTGTTTTGCAAATACAACATTATTTATACCCTATTAAATCTGTAGCTGAAACTTGTGAGGTCCCAAGATCACAGCGAATTTGTTGTAATTCTGTAAAGGCACAGCGGATGTCCAACTTACTGCAGGCTAAAATAGAGATTGCCTTGTAACAGGTTTTAGATGCCTCTTGGAGATTCTGGGTATCTTTTCCCTGTAGAAACATTACCGTGGTATCATGTATGCAGTGTGTTTTTCCAGGTAACACAGTACCTTAATGGGCTACAGAAATAGAACCTACTCTAAAGCCCTGAATACCACAGTCACAGTGTTTCCAAGTTAGATACATGTACAACTCAGAATCAGTTTCAATCCACAGTGAATTTTTTATGGTCAACGCAAAGTATCTGTACACAAAGCCATCAACCGCATCTATTTTCACAGTTGAGTTGCCATTGGTGTTGTCATTCACTTTTCTGGATTTTTTGCATCTCCTAAGTCGTAAGTTATTGCTATGATTAAAAAAGAAAGGGGGTTTCTTTCTTATGGCAAGTATCAAGAATACCCAAAAGTTTTGCTGAAATCACATCATGCTCTGTTCATGTCTATTTACTTTGTTTGGTCAGAGTTAATCTGGCAATGAGTGTGGTCCACAGGGTACTCCAGGTGCTTTTGCCAGGTATTTCAAGGTACTCATCTCAGGTAAGGTCAATTACCTTGCATTTTATATCCATTTGTTACTTCTAATACACAGGCATTGGGCCCTGAAACTGAGTATTTTCAGTTCTTCTCACATAGTCTGTGCTCCTCACTGGAATCCATGTTCATCATTACCAATGTGACATTTTGGATCCATAAATGAGTATACTAGTACAGTAGTTCTCTGGCACGGGAGTTTAAAGGTTTACAGACACCCCAACTTTGATTTTTTTTTTTTTAATTTCAAGTTCAACCTAGATGGAATTTGGTTGTCTATTTTGAGAGATGAACTTTTATAATTTTCAGGGTCAGACGTTGAATTTTGGAGATCCACTCTTTACCTCATGGTTTGAACTGTGTGCCCCAATCCACAGTGTGTAAATGAGACTTATGACTTTTCCCTGTTTTGAACCATTTGGTTCAAACTAATCATAAAGTGTGTCTCAACATGCTGTATAATGCTGTTTATGTCTTATACATTCTTTAATATATGATATTTGATCCATTTTCTCTGTTTACCTAGCACCTAATGCAATATCCTCTTGTTACAATTTGGGTAACAGTAATTTGTAAAAACACAAAACACATGCTTGTTTTCCCTAACTTGTAATATTTGTCTTACAGCTGATTAGTTGTGATCATTTTATATAACTGATAGAGGGGAGGAAGGGGTATCAAAACATGGGTCCTCATCACTTCTCTGATTTAATTAATCAATGATGTTCGGATAAGATCCTAAGAGAAAAAAAATCTCATGGATGATATGCTCTTTTGGTTTTTTTTCTCACTGACAGTGACACTGAAAAGTGACAGCAAGTAATATTAATGAATATAATTTTTGAAAGTTAACTTGCATTCATATATTAATATACTTGAGATTTGATAATGAAATTAATACTTAGCATATCAACAAATTATTTGGAATATTTTTCCAAATATTCACTTTTTTGCCTGATTGTAGACTCTGTATTGCAGTTTGTATGTTAGTTTTGTCGGAGAAAAAATAAGAAAATCATATATAATTGACAAATATAAGTAATTTCAAATATTATTATTTATTTCTAGGTCTGGCATAAGATGTGTTTTAAGTGCGAGGTTTGCAATATGACATTGAATATGAAGAACTACAAAGGCTATGACAAGAGGCCATATTGCAATACGTGAGTGTTGTTTCTACTTATTTGCTAAAACTTATTTTAGAAAAGAATTAAGATATTATCAATATTATTAGTATTATTTAATTTATTTGAAAATATGCTACTAAATCTTATAAACCTGTTCACTCAGTCAATATTTTAGTAAAAAATATGGCAGGTTTCATCCAATTTTGCTTCAGTCTTTACCCATGTCCTTAAATATTTATTTTCCAAGGTTAACACAAAAGGAATCCAGCCTGCATTCCGCCTGTGAAGCCTTCAAGCACATATTTTACCAGTGATATTAAGTGACCTGCCACTTGGCATTTACAGCCAGTGGTTAAGAGTCATTTTAAGATACTCATGATCATCATTATTACCACATTGTTATGTTAAAAAGCTGACAGCGTATTTTGCCCTGGGATTTTGTGTACATCCATCTTGGTTAAGATACAGACATTATGGAGGTTATAAAGGCAAAACCTGGCTATAACCAGCCTTTGCCCAAACTGAGATTAGTCGTGTTTCCTTCCTAATTGGGTAGACCTAGCCTAGCATTGCATTAGCTGACTGTCAGTTTACGATTACCTCACCCTAGCAAGTATATCTAATCCTTTTATTGCCCATTGCAATAGAGATTCTAGCCATTTGTCCTTAGATTGACTTCCTATGTTTAGCTTATTACAATCAGGTAGCCTGTTGAGGTTACCCGCACAGAATAAAAATAGAATAAGGCTGATCCAGCTTGACTAGAAATACAACTTTGCAGCATAACCTGCTCCGTGAATGATTGCTTAGTAAAACAACAAGAATGTGTACCCCTGTGCGCTAAAATGGTGGATTTTGCTTTTTCTTGCTGACCTTGAACCAATTATAATCATTACTTGAAAGAGGATATCATGGATGCAGAATTTAAGAATGTTGAGCAATTGAAATTATGAGCCTTTCTAATGTATACATTTTTTAACGAATGTGGTACGTGTAAAATACAAGTTGACAGAACCTGTTTAATGTCTTACCCATCCTCTATAATAACAAAATGCTAGGTCAAGATAGCTGTTTTTCTTTGCTCCCTGTCACTCCTTCACATTGCATGAAACTGTGAAAGGCATAACTTTAGTCTATTGCTATTTATAACAAACCTATGAACAATAGGCCCACATTATTTGAGTTTTGGGTAATAATCAGCATTGTAAATTTTTGAGAATGATTCCTTAAAGCAATAATAACTCTTCGTTTCGGCCAAAAAATGAATTTTCCTGGAGTAAACAACAATTTTCCCATACTTACCAATGGTTAATGAATCCATTTTTACATTCAAAGTTAGTCCCTGGTTTTTTTCTAAAAAGTTTGGTTTTTTGTTAAAATCTCTTAAGAGATTTTAACAGAGTATAGACATCAATGGAGGTCACGTGGTCTAAAGACAAGTTCAGATATCAGAATAAAAGCTATAACTGCTGTTTTTGTGGTAAAACAGAATATATTATATTTCTACGAGTTATTCACAAGGTTTTTATTGTGAAATATAGATCTCATACAAAGAGTTATTATCCCTTTAATTTCAAGGCAGTTTAGTCTGACCAAGCCACAGATCCAGGGGATTCACAGGCTGCAGATCAAGCACCTGCTAAACTACCTGCTCCTGATGTAGTTCTCTCTGCCAAGTGCTTTTCCTTTAGAATTCATTAAGGACTACCTTTTCTTGCCATTTTGACTTGTTCTTAGAAGTTCTCTCCTGCACCTGGAATTCCTGGTTTCCAGGAGATTCTGTTATGCACTTAACATATATTCCTGGTACACTAAACAAATGTTAGATAAATAAATATTTCATATTAATAATTGTATTTTTTTGCCTGGTCATCTTCAGCCATTATCCCACCACCAAATTCACAGCGGTAGCAGATACACCAGAAAACAGAAGAATAGCAAAGAACACACAAGTACAGAGTAATGTAAGTACATATATACTAAGAGAAACAAGCAGAGAACTAGGAGACAATAACCAGGACAAGGGCATTTGGGGGGCGGGGCAAAATATTTATTTCCAAAAAAAGGTCTTAGCTTTTACTCTTCCTTGGTCAAGACTAAAACTGAAATAATGTTCTCAAATTGAGATATCTGTATCTGTTTTATAAGAGTTAAGAAAACATACATGTTTTATCCATATTTAAAAAAAATTTAACAAGTCTGTTGCTGATTTTTTTCTGGATAAAAGTAGGCCACAACTTGTGGTCTCAAAGTTGAAGTCACCTCTGACCATAGATTCTTTCATGAAGGGCATCAGCACAATTAGTGATGTGGTGTCCCATTACTAGCCTTGTTCCTATATTAAACCAGTTCTGTCCTATTGCTTGGACCTAAAGGTGTCTTTTCATGTCTAAAATGATTAGACAGAAAAACAATTTACTAATATACATTAACTCCAGTGTGCTTTAGATACAAATTGACTCAGTTCATTTTGTTTTATATAGTGAAGGCACTAAACTGATGCAGTAAAAGCGGGCAATAAAAGATGTCCATTAAAGGAATTTGTCATGTTTTTTAGCTGTAAAAACATTTAAAGATTTTTGTAAAATTATTTATTTATATTCATTTTTAGGTAGTGAAATTTGCTGTTTTAATAACAGGCATTTATGTTTAATCAAAAAGGCAATGCCCACACACCAAATATATACCAATTCTTGACAGATTTTTTTTAGAATTTTCTGCCTCATGTGCTGACTTGTAAATTTGATTGTTAAACCAATGTAATAACAACACAGATCAATACAAAAACCAAAGTTTTCCAGCAATTCAGATAAGTGGAATGCATTTTAAAGAATTGGTATGCCATTAGTGAAACTATATATCCTCTCTGAAACTGGCTCAATCGATATTTGCTTAATTGTGTCAGTTGTGCTGCAGTTGGCACTGACCTTTCTATTAAATCTCTGTTAAGGGGGAGGGGGGGGGCAGGAATTTGACAAAGGCAAAATGTCAGAGTATGTGAGATAATTGAACTAAAAAGCCATATAACTGAGATACATCCTACTTAGCTTAGATACATTTCCCTCATTTGAACTATTGAGTCATGGGATTAAGTCATGGTGTAATCATTTCTAGATCAAGTACCATCAAGATTTCGAAAAGCAGAAGGGAAGCAAAATATCTGTGGCAGACGATCCAGAGAACCTTCGCGTGAAGAAGTTATCCCAGAACATCAGTAACGTGGCTTATCATGGGGAATTGGAGAGGAAGGCAGAGATGGAACAGAGGCGTCCTGACCAGGGTAAATTGACAATCTTCTTAGATATAGCTCCCACCTTTGCTTTGTTATTGGTCAAGGTTTTTTGCTGCCCAATGGAAACCTAGTTTGTTAAATTTATTTAACTTTTCCAATTTCCCAACCAGAAGAGGAATCCCAGAATTACAGTTACTTTATTTGTCACCATCATGATTCTTTCAGCAAATTGTAAACCTTGAATGGTTTTGTTCTCCATAAATTCCACTCTTTCCATAACTTAATTGTTCAAGAGATTTCCTTTATTTTAAATGATATCCCATGATGCATTATTTAATGTGTGATAATGATGATCTGTTGCATGCATCTGAATGAGGGAGGATGGATATACTGCTTGCTTTACTCTTTAAAGCAAATAAGTATATGCACTTCAGTTTTCACCAATGATTACAGTACTTGTATGAGGCCCACGTAATATATTGGGTATTCAAATGCCAGAGAATGCATTCCTCTTGCTTTGATCTCTGTTTTTCTCCTTTGCCATATTCTTAGAAAAGTAACATTTTATTCTTGCTTTGATCTTGGCTTTCAAGGTTTTCTGAAACTATCCAACTTAGAAGCCATATCAAGTAGGCTTAAGATTAATATCACAGCCTATAATTCAAATGTTTTATATTTTAATTTACTGCCTTCTATGAACCCAAAGCATATTCTTAAATATGGTCTGGATAATTGGTATTTCTTGGTTTAGGAATCCAGAATGGACGATTTCTGCAACTAAAATACCTAGTATATATAGATTTAGGGCTAGAACATTTTCTTCTTACACTGATCAAGAAAATAATTTTTGAAAAAATTGAATGAGTAAAAAAAATATCATACAATCAATTGTTTGATTAGCAATAATGGTAAAATGATATTAATTATGAAAATAGTTGGCTTTATTTCTGTCTGAAAGCTATTAGTGTCTTTAAACTAAACGGTGTTAGTTTGGCTTTTTCATTAATCAGACATGAATTCAGTTAATTGATCAAACATTGAATAAGAAGAGTCTTAGTTAATTGTGATATAAATGTTTTAGTCACACTGATGTAAATAAAAATGTCTAGTGAAATAATATCAAATGAGACATGGATAGAAATGTTTATTCAAATTGATAAAATTTGATTTATCTAAAAACTTCATTTGTCTTATTTTGGTTGTTATATTATATTATAGTAGGTATTTTATGTTTTATCCCTTTCCTTTCCTTTTGTTGGTACAACTAGATTTTTATTCATCTTATTTATTTCAGTTTTGTTATTATTATCAAGGGCCACAATTGTGTGTGTGCGTGTGTGTGTGTGTGCATCTGTGATTGTAAGGGAGAATGTTCATAATTGTGGTCTTAATCACCTTTCTCTGCACCTCTCCCTCTCTCTCACATCTCTCTCTCTTTCTCTCTCTCTCTCCTCCCATTCTCCCAACCTTCTTCCACCCCCTTTTCCGTTGATGATCCCCTTCCGTCTTTGTTACAGAGTATGATGTTGGTTCTGCCCCGCCTCCAGGATATGCACCACAAGACAGTAGGGACACTTTTTAGTTATTACACAACTTATAATATACCACCATGAACAAAGTTCCAGCTTAGAGGGCATTCTGAATGAGTTGATCCGAGGACTAATTGATCTGCGGATCAAATATGGCTGACCGGCCACATTAAAGCACAGCTGGCTAATCCGCTAATGGTGTCCCTGCACCCCATCCCTGCAGGTGTCTAGCAATTAAACCTTGGAGCTGTGATTTAATTTGTTTAATGGCGTGTGGGGAGGCCGGGAGACCAGATTAGTGGGCTCTGCATTAATATGGGTCAGCCATTTTTGATCCACGGATCTGTTAGTTGGCAGATCGACTTGTTCTGAATCCCCTCTTAATAGATATACATGTATAGATTGACAAGTTTTGTTGAAACCAATGTTTTTTTTCTATTATGTGAAAAAAATGATATAATTGCAATCTGTGCTGAAAATAGTCCTTTCAAATGAATGGAAAATGTATATAAAAAAATATTTGTGGTGGGTGTTGATTTACGTTACAGTGGAAATGGAATATTTACTAACAGTATTCTTTATTTATAAATAATTCTTGAAAGATGATGAATAGCATGCTATCTGAAATTTAATCTTTTATGAATGTTGTAGAATGACTGAGAAATTCCCTAAAGGCATTTTAAATTTCTGCATCTCTGTCTTGTAAAACAAATTTTGGCCATTTTGCTAGAAATAGATAAAAACATTATTGGTAGATCTTATCTCTGTTGCATTAATTTAAAACTGAAATAACAGGATAAAACTTTTGAGTGAATGTAAATAACAAGCCCACTTTTTTTTTTAACTGTTCTTTGAAACATCCATATTCTTAAATTGAATTCTCCAAACAGTCTCATGTAAAATGCCTGCTTTGTTTTGGTGTGTCCCCATTCTGTGTTTACCAAATTCAACTTTTAGAATAACTTGGCATGCACATATCCCTTAAATGACCCCTGTTCTTTTATAATTTTATTTTGTTTTCATTATTATTATTATTATTATTATTATTATTATTATTATTATTATTATTATTATTATTCAGACTTAACAGATTTGCAAGTTAAAGAAACACATAACTTAATAATGAAAATGGACATGATATACTATTGATTAATTGTTATCGTTGAAAAAACAGCAATACCTTGACACAATGTACAGATATCTATTTCCAAAAACTTATGTTTATATCTTAAAGTCATGCACAAATCTTGCTTAGATATGGCTGGTTTCAGATGATATGAAAAGGCGTTGGCTGAAGTCTTAAAAGTTTTTATATCTCTTTCACCCATTTGCGAAAGCAAGTTCTTTTTAGATGGAGCTTTTAATAATGATATCTGCATTGCAAAACTATAACAGTAATTATTCAATCTTTTCAATGGGCAAAAAATAATCAAACTTTAAGATACTTAATTTCATAATCACAAAAATTATATTTCTATGAAGCATTTGTGGTGCTTTTAATGCATAGAACAGAACTGTAGAGTAGCTTGCTTTTAAGTGTTGTTGCTACCACTTAAAAGAAATGTTCTAATTTTGAGAAATCATGACTTTAAATACGTTATCTGTAAAATTCACAATTTCCTCCATTGAAAAGATAGAGTAACATCTATATTATATTCTCAGAAAGGATGTTATCATGTGAATGCAATCAGTTTTAAAATTTTGAGTAGAACTTGGGTTTGTGACCTTGGGTAATGGTTGAAAGCATGTTCAGGCTTTGAAATTTCGTCATGACAAGCAGTTTAACTGAAAATTAGTCCCTTTTTTGCATCGATATGTATACTAAGCTGGACCAGACCACTAACGGAGCCTTATCACTCGACACAACCAATTTATAAATTTATAGCAGGAAGGGGATTTGTAAAGAACTAGTAAATACCTGAAACACTGTCCAAAGTAAAAACCCTGTAGAGTTGTACTGGTCCAGTTAAGTATAACACTCGATGTGAAAAGTTCCGTACAGTATTATCCCCCTAGTGCATGTGGTATATGGAGTAGTACCATACTTGTCTGTACGTCAGTACACATTTGGAAGGCTTGCATACACTTCACTTCCATGATGAAAGGCAATTGAGGTCAAATATAGTAGACTCCACATAGCTCGGACTCTTTAGGACCGGAAAAATTAGTTCAAAATGGAAATTCAAAGTTGGCAATATTCTTAAGTTTTAGCCAATACCAAAGAGAAAAGTCTGTTCTTCAAAATTTAAGATGAATGTTAAATTGAGCTATGTGGAGTCTACTGGGCATTTGATATTGTACTATATTAATTGATGAAGTCACCCATTTTTATACTAAAATTACAATCTAGTCCTCAAAATTGCTATTCAGAGGTCAGCTCAGAAATATCTTTGGAGTCAAAATTTGATAATGCTCAGTATTGAAATGCAAAATTTGTGACAAAATTTCAATCATTTATTTTTATTTTTTTAATGGAATTATCTGAAATTATGTTAGAGCGGTCTCAATGCATCCTTGCTAATCTGCTAATATGCCACACCATGAAAAGTCTCAACCCTCATTCCACCATATTTGCTCTCCCTTCCAGGGCAACCAATGCCTGCAAACCAGCCCTACCGTCGCCAGCCTGGCTCCCTGGCCGATTACGACCCGATGATGAGAGAGGAAGCCCGCCCCTCGCCGTACAGTGCTAAAGTGCAGAGCACACAAGTGTATAACTCTGGAAGAGGTATACTGGGTGTTCATATAGAACTTGATGATAGCACTTTGTTAATAAATTGTAGAAATAACATTCACACACGCATGCATGCACACACACACACACGCATGCACACACACACACACACACATGATTGCATGCATACCCTCACACACACACAAACACACTGAACAAGAGCTCCAGTGCAAAAGCTCTTTTGAACTTATGAAGGCAGATGCTTTGTTTTAATGAAATTAGTGCAGTGAAAATAAGGAGTGTTGTGTGTTTTAAAACTTTTTTTTATGACATACAGAAAGATGTTTTTGGAGGGGGACTTATTGATATGATTACCATTAATCCTGAAAGTTTATACTTAAGAAGAAAAAAAAAAAAAAACTGCGGCATTTTGATCACATCTTTAAATTAACTTACCTTCAAGGTATAATGTAGATTTTTGTGCAGATACCTGTAGATTGTGTGGTGGTAGATTTTCATTGCCTTGAATTTTTTCATTTATTTATTTATTTATTTATATAGTTTTGCCAGAAATTTCTTATCTTACCAATAATTGTCTCGTTTCTTTAATGATCAAAAATCTATGTTCAATTGCTTGTAAGTGTTGTATGGGTTGTTTTTGTTGCTGTTTGAGTACTGATTGTCTTGAGTGGGTAATTTTGCATCCATAAAGGAAAGTGGTGTCATGTACGTTTTGATGGGAAATGTGTTGTAATGTTGGGTTTGGAAAATAGGATTTTAAGGTAATTACTGAAGAAAACTAACATGAAAATGTGTAAGGCTTGCATTTTGTTTTCAACAACTCTTTCGTGCATCTTTCTAAAATTCACGTTTGGCATATAGGATGCTACCTTGTATTTGCAACAAAATGAATGTGTATTATCAATATAATTGAAATTTTGGCTCTGGTGGCTGTGGTACTTTCTATTTTATGATTACGTTTGAAAGTCAAGCATATGTGTTAAGGACAGAAGCCAAAGATTGAAAACCCATGGGGTAAGATGTCCACAGACGGTTAGGGGATTTTTATTTATTTATTTATTTTTTTTGGGGGGGAGACTTCTCTGTTTAGGCCATTTTGAGTAGTATGTTAAATCTGAGGCTTTTTTTGGCCTAAGACAAGAAAAAGTCATTATATCATTACCTGGATTGACAGCAACTAAAGAACAAACTAGACAACACTCACAAAATGGGAGAGAGTACGAAAATCATGTGTTGTCACGTATGCAGTGTTTCGCTAGAAAGGAGGCGTACCAAAGTTGCACTTTGTGCCTGAGAACATGTTTGGTCATGTACCCAAAATTAGTGTTTTGTTTCTGCATTTTTTATGCTTTTTCATTCTCTTTCATGTAAATTTGTTCCTCACTTTCTCAGAAAGTCAGGGTCTTTCATGTCAGGTTCAAAGTTTAGTGGAAACTACAATGTATTTTAGAATTTAACAACATTATTATACACATGTATACAGACTGAGAAGGTAAAACTTATCTCAAAACGGACTGATCAGACGGATGGACAAATGACAGATATACAAATAAGCATGACTGATCTTCAAACTTCCTCTCCTCCTTAGCCAAACACTGCCAGCACGTGCACTTCTCCATCATTTTCCTCCATCTCCGTGTTTTGATGCTTAATTTGTTTTATACCCCTTATTCTTTGCCTACTAACAAGGCTTGGGTGGCTTTCTCTTCTTACTGCAGTTGAGACGCAACCTCAGGATCGCAGGAAAGTAGGTTCAATCGCTGATTATGACCCGGTGAATGAAAATTATGGTTCCTTAGCTGGTGGTGTTTCTTCAACGGGGCAAGGTAACGTAGTCTCCGAAAAACTCTGCATGAGGCACGTAAATGCATGCCACGTGATTATAGATTCATACCCATTTGTTCCATACCCATTTTCTACTTTTTAAGTAAATTTTTTGCAACAAACTGTTTGTTTGTTCTTTTGCATGGACATAATATTGTGTTTTAAGATGGCCAGTTCAGGAGCAGTGTAAAGAGCAAGATCAAGTGAAAAATTGACCTTGGATAAATGAAATGAAAGTTTTTTTAGTCATCTTTTATTCTGTAATTTCATTTGATTATTTTTCTTTTTTTTTAGGTGTTATCTACTTACACACAAAAGCATGCTTATTGCACCTTGTTGTGAATAATTATTTTCAGCGTATCCCTCTGAATTGATTTATACCTTTTCCTTTTTTGTCTTGTTAAGCACAGCTCATTTTCATTTGTAAATGTTTTTCTTTGTTTTTTTTTGTTTTTTTTTCATAAAATGGTGTTAATGCTTTGTCTTTTGTTTGCCCCTTTTAGGACCTTAAACATGTGTTAACCCCTTGCACCTATATTCCTCCTGCCCCTCTCTGTCCTACTTTTTAATTTCATTTTTTATTTTATTTTATTTTGTCGACTGTTTTCACATGGAAATTACCAAGAGATGTGTATGCATATTTTCACAAATAAATAGGAATTAAAGACAGATGTATTTGGCTATAAAAAAATAAATAATAAATAAATAAAACCAACATGACATCACATAATGAGTTTATTTAAGGATTACAAAGAAGAGAAATATGAATGAAAACTTGTTTAATTTTTTCCTCCTAAAACATGAAAAAGGGAAAAAATGTGGAATATTAACAAGGGTTACAATCCTGATTATTTTCATGCTGTTTTTATCTACCTACTATAGGCTATCAGCAGCCTCCACCGCAGCAGTACCAGCCTCCGCCGCCATCATCACCCCAGCATCAGCCCGTACGCCCCAGTGGCGGTTATGTCCAGCAGCAAGAGCAAGGTATGAAACATTTCATACAAGTATCTCTTTTATCAAAAATGTTGACTTTATAAAGACTTAAAGTACTAATGGTAGGGGAAAGGGAAAGGAAACAGATGGTTTGACTTACTAACAGTGGTTGTTATTGCCTAACACCTAACATTTAAGTAAAGTAAAAACTTGTGCAAAAGAGGTATAGTTTCTGTATTAAGAGAAAGGTTCACCATGTTGAGAAATTCACTGCAGCCTACAAGTAGTTAAAAGAATATTTAATGGAATAAGTATTTAGCATTTTGACTGTTTTAACTTTAGAAGAGCCTTTGACTGAATCAGAGCCTCCTGAAATATCTGAGCCTCTTTCTAAATCTGAACCAGCTCTTATTGATGAGACACCTGATACAGTTGAAACTCTTGATAATGAAACAGAAAATGAAATTGATGCTTGTCTCGAGCCTGTAGATTTAGGAGAGGGCCAGATTGGAGACTCGGAGCTTGGAATCGAGGATGTTCTACAAGAAGGTAGGTTGATCTTATGGAATGGAACCACACATGAGCCAGGGATCTGGGGAAATCACACTGATTCTTGGAAACAAGTATGAATTTACCAATGTCAGATATCATGGCAAATAAACTCCTTTGTCTTCATTATTATTCATTTTTATTCTTGTGGTTTGAATGTTAAATGGCTTTCCATTGATCTGCATTGGATGTAGAAATCTCAATCTATAACATTGAAGACAAGGGAGATTAAACTGCATGGCATTATAAAAAAGCAAGTCGTCTTAATATTGCCTAATTCTATGGAAATTGATTATATCAAACCCTTTTGCTTACAGCAAAGCAAGGTGGCATAATTTTGCATGATGTAAAATTATCAATTTTCAAATTTCTTTTTCTGAAATATCTTGTTAATCTTCTACTCTATACATATAAGCGTGTTGAAAAGTGATAATGAAATATTCAAGGTGCAGATGTAATTTTTTCTTCAACACTGGCCATGTTTAACATTAAATGCATGCAAAGTTGAGTTAAACAGTAGAGGCCCTACACAGCTGGCAAAGATTCAGTCAAAGTAGTTAGTGTCTTTGAAAGAGAAAAAAAAATCTTGCCATTACCTGTTAGGCAAGTGCTCAGTCTGCATCTTGAAAATTTCAACAGTTTGGTTTAAAAATCTCAATTGTAATTGAAATAATAATTATAATTAATTACAATTATAATTGGAATAATTATAATTAATCAGTGAAAATTATCATGAAATTTCAGCAATTGTTTGTATGATCATATTGCAAATATGCAAAAATATGCCGTCTGCTGCATGAGATGGTTAAAATGCTCGGTATATTTTGCTACAAATTCTGGGAAGATCATAAACATCAATAAATGGCTCATAGAGGAAAATGAGGAATAGAGTCGTATAAATCTATTAATTTAAGTAAACATAGATGTAAGGTACATTTCTTTTTGGCTGTTGGATCATAAATCATTGCTTTAGATGTTAACACAAAACCTGAGAGGCTGAGTGGTATTATAAATGTGCTATGTATGGAATTCAGTTGATATTTTGCTATGTAAGTCATTAGGTGATGATAAGAAGTGAGTTACTTTTTGTTCTATTGATTATTTTGATAAAGCTGGTTTGGTTATACAGAAATTTTAATTTAGTTCAATAATTTAGGGGTGAGAATCACTGTGCCATTAATTTGAGGGGGGTGGCATTGATTGACAGAAGGGAGGGTCACTGTTACATTGATTGACAGAGGGAGGGTCATTTGATCAACCCAAAGGAAGATCACTGTAGCATTGATCAACAGAGGAGAGGATTGCTTATACATTGATTGACAGAGGGGAGGATCACTGTGACATTGATTGACAGAGGGGAGGATCACTCTGACATTAAATTGATTGAAAAGATTATCCACATCTCTGTAATTTATGAAATGAAATTTGCCAGGAATTCTTTTCCATGACCACCCCTCCCCCTAACCCACCTGTATTAGCCTCCAACAGTGCTTACATCTATATGAGGAATGTGAAGCTGCATTTACTATCTCTGAACACAGGTCTTTTCTAGACTTCCATCTATTTGGATAGACATGCCTATTTGACAAACAATTGTTTCAAATGTGCCCTGGATTGTTTTGGAGGAGGTTCAAAGTTAAAAATATGCATCCTTTCAAACTGTAGGACCTTTAAACACAGAGCTTAAAACACCAAAGTTACAGTGTGGTTCTCTTTCAGTTGCTGTTCTTTCAGTGGATAATGCTACATAAAACTCTTTTTGGCACAATATAGCAGGCCAATTACCCCCCCCCCCCCCCCCAAAAAAAAAAAAAATCACAATATAGGACTGGAACAGATACTGTGTGGGAGACAGCTTTATTACTATATAATGAATAGCCGAGAGATATATTCATGTATTTATGCTTCTGATGTGCTTCTGCTTAGCACCAGCAACTGGGTACCTATCATGTTGCGATATGATTATTGCATAATATATTATATAGGAAATTAATTATTTTGCATACCTGTATTTTCAAACCAGGTATATATATATATATATATATATAGAGAGAGAGAGAGAGAGAGAGAGAGAGAGCATATAGTCTTAACCTTGAACTTTTCAGCCCAGTGTTCACTGGGATTAGTAGGTGGGCTTCAGTATACTAAGCTTCCAGTGCAAATCAAAATTAACATGTATTCGAATATGACATTATGTAGATAATGGAAGATTAATCTAAAATGACAGCTGTAATTTCCACTTGTCTGATTGGACTAGTCAATTTGTCAAATTCAATTTTTTTATCAGTCAGATGGCAGATTTATTAGTCTGACATCAAAGACCAGTGACTAAGGTTCAAGTAACAAATGCAGGGTTTTAGTACCAACCTGATCACTATTTCAAATGGTTTATTATTTCTTAATATAACACAAAAGAGGTTTGGTAGCTGAAAGGTGGACTGAACTTTAAGACCATAAAAATTGGTCCGATTTGACTCAGGATGATTAGAAGTAGGTAATGTCTAGATAGGCATTGAGCCTGTTCCACCAAAAAGTCTGAAATGGCTAGTGTTTTGGATCAAACTGTTATTTTTTAGTCACAAACTACAGATTTATTACAGATCAGTTGACTAGAACTTTGGTCTCTCAACTTGCGACTGAGATTATATTGTAAAATGGAGGCAAGTATTAGACCCCATTCCCACAGATTTTAGTTCGATCTATCCCTGTGGAGAGCCTCACTAGATTACTGTCAACTTAGTCGGCTTTAGCGTCTGTCCCACCTTCTAAAAGCTGTAAGGGGGTAATTAACTACCGTGCACGCTCGGCTGACTGCAATTTAGCGTGAACCCCAAGGGAGTTAGGTCGTTCTAGATGGATCAATCTAAATCTATGGGAATGGACTCTTAAGCTGAGCTAGCTATAGGTCTATGCAGCCATAATAATTCACACATGTACAGTAAAAAGGGACATTGGCTGATGTGTGCTTTATCAGTGTTCATCACTTAATCTGTACAACGTGTACACACTTCAATGTGATTTAAGACCAATTGTGGGCTGATCTGGATTTCATGAGAGCCACCAAACAGTTTTACTTCTTTTTGTCATGAAAAAACTGATATGAACCCTGAGTTATTGTCATTTTTTTCTTTTTTGCTTCACACATTTGCTTATTTTTTCTGCTACATTTGTTTTCATGTAAGCCATGTTGTGAAAGGCTATATGGCTTATTTAAGGTCGCATTCACAACCACTTGATCCACATACTTACTAGTCCACAATCAAATATGAGAGCATTCAAAACAGTGGACTAACAGATTGGCAGATCAAATGTGGCAACCCACTAAAAAGCTTGCTGCTTAATTCCCCCATTAGACACTGAATAGATTCCCCACGGGATTACTCAACAAGCAATCAAGTGGGTCAGCCATATTTGATCCGCGGATCTGTTAGTCTGCTGTTTTGAATGCGCTCTNTATAAAAGCTTTTAAGAGGGATATCATAGATCTCTGTATCTTGTGAAATACATGACATTATACAGTTATTCAGGTAATTAGTCCCTGGTGTATATTATTAAGTGAAGAAATTGAAATTAGACAGGCCCTTTTCTCATTGCACATTCCATTTATCTGTATCTATATACCTGTGTTGCATAAAAGAGTTGCCAGAGTGGAGCCCCCATGCTCAACACAGCTAGGAAACAAGCTTCATTTTGATTGGTCCAAACTATTGGAAGGAAACTTGTTAAGGGGAGCCAAAAACTGTGTATAATGATCATATGTTAAGACCAATGTTAAGTGTTTCCATACAGATAAGTGTAATGCAAGATATGAAATGGGTCTGAAATAGAATTGGCTTAACTTTTGCTGTAATAAATTGTGCCGTTTACATATGCATTCTTTTTTAGGTTTTTTTAATGCTTGTACTTGAATATTAAGAACTTCTTTTTTCTGGTTTTCTGAAGATTTTGGCAAGACCTTTTACAGTTGGAATCCAGTGGCCTTCAACCCAAGGGGTCAGTAGGTCGGGAGGGCTTTTTCTCCCCATGGCATGCTGGGATATGCAGGATTTCTTGAGTTGTAGCAGTAATTGTGACACCGTTTGCTTCAGACAACAGCATAGATGTCTTTCTACCCTTCACTTCTCGTCCAAACAGGCTTTTCTTTATTTACCTCATCTTTTCATTTCTTCATTTTTTTTTCCCCTTCAAACACCTTTCATGTATCCATCCCCTCAGTGAAGAAGCCACCCCATCATTAGATGTGCACAAGAAACTAATCTTCTTGTACCCCTATCTATTATTTTTACCCTCTGGTGTGTCCTTCCTTTCTCATTTTATATTTGTCCCTTTCTTTAATTTCAGTTGTCATTTTGATTTTCATTGGTAGAGTAAAATGGTAAATGCAACTCACCACCCCAACCAGAAAAAGACAAATCAAATAAGAAAAAGTGATAAAACCACTGTCAGTTATCCACAGTCCACAGAAGTCTGAAAACTTTCCACCAGTGATTATTCCTTTTGTTTAAGCATCCCTGCCCCTTCCAGCTCGACCCCATTCTATGCTGTTGTCGATAGTTATTTTGACATTTTTATTCCAGTTTTATAGTGCCTAGCTTAGTGGAGTTGAGAAACTATCACTGCCTGCACCCAGCAAGTTGCTTCCCCCTTTTCAGGAGAATTCAACTAACACTAAATACACATAACTGCATTTGAAATATTAATAGCTTTAAATTGAAAGATATGAGAATGGAAGCATTTTGACATACTGCAAGTCATTTGGTCTCTCTTTCTCCTCTCTCTCTCAGTAATACAAATATACTTTGGAATCAAAATTCAGGTAGAAGACTGAGAGACTTTACACTGCAAGAGTTTTGTCAATTTTGTAGCTGTCATCAAACTGAAGGTGCCAACAAAATTGAAGGGACTTGTAGCATGTCATTTTGGCTTCATTAGGTAGAGGTAGATTTATTCTTTTTCAGATTTTGCAAGCAGAAACCTTTTTTTTTACGTTTTGCTTCTTGTGTTTGTAATGAACTTCCAATGTTAAATTACCTGCACATATCTTTTATCGGTGTTAAATGTTTTCTTTCTGTCCTGTTCATGAGTCTCGTGACTTCTTTTTGAATCCTCATTTCATCAGTTGTGTTCATTTAGGCATGACATTTTTCACATTTATGAGAGACAGCTTATATTCTTTTGTGGACCGTTGTGAAATTTTTGTGCTTTTTTTTATAAAAAAAATGTTCATGAATTAAGTGTATAGTTGGATGCAATGTATAATATTTTTAAAATGGGTTTGTTGCAACATTGTGTAAAATGTGAACTAATGACGAAGCTGAACACCAGTCTTTGGCTGCTGGGGCATAAAAAAAGTCCCATGTGTGAAACATTGCAACTGTATGTTCTGCATAGGTTTGATAGATGTGTTATTCTCTAATATTCTAACTAATATTAGATACCATTGCATGATTTTTCATGAATCTTGAATTGTTCGAAAACTTGGTTGCCCCTCCTGATTTGAGAATCGACTTCTGTTAATTATTTCCCCATTAGTTAAATGCAAATGCTTTCTATTCAGTTATCCTTTACACATTTTAATATAAAATAAAATGAATGTAGTTTTTTTTTTTCCAAGCGAAATTCTTGATTAGAATTTAAGTCATATTGAAACAATTGTGTTAGGTGTACTTTGTCAGAATTGTAATTGTATTGTGCATGTCTGTCTTAAAACATGCTTGGTCCTTTTGTTTTTTCATCTTTCATTTCTGATGTCTTTACTTGGAAAGGCTAGATTCTACAGATAAAAGTACGAAAGATATTAATCTTTAAACTACACATTTTTGCTAGCAATCTAAATTTTCTTTTTAAATAATTTTTAATTCAGTTCCATTTTTATTTCCAGTGAACTCTTGTGTAAGACAAAACTGTGTGGGTTTTTTTCTTTATTGCAGAAACTTTTTACCAAATAGCATCAACAATATGCAGTTTTCAGTTACAGGCTGAACTGTGAATTTTTCACGTACAGATAACACATTTCTCTTTTATAATTTTTCCTACTTTTCAATACCATAATTGTCGTGTTGGTACCATGTTACAGATGTTATCATGTAAGTTACCATGGTTACAAAAATGGCAAATCTTACATTCATGTTATGTGCACATGTAAATAATTTACAAATAACAATGAAATAGAATTTGATCATTTTATATCAATTTCAGCGCCCCCTGTAAGCACGCAATATTATGCAGCACAGGAGCCTGAAAGATCGCCTGGAGGGTACGGCTACCAACCACCTCCCCCACAGATGGCGCCACAAAGTCAAGGGGTGAGTTGACCAATCAAGACACTACTTTAGTTCACATGAGGTATCATTTAAAAGTTAATCAGACACTATTAAGTTACATAACTAATTATAAAGGTGGGTGACTTGATGAAACCCTGTGTAACATAAAATTTGAAACTTATAAATAAAAGAATACAAGTCATTAGTGAGCGAAAAAGCCAAAAATGAATGATTACAAGAAAATAATAAATTGACCAAGTGAAAAGCCAGAGGATGGGAAGAAAAAAGTTTAACATAAAATTTTGAACTCCCTAATAAAAATATACAAGGCATAACTTATAAGTGAGCAGAAACTCAACAAAATGAATGTTTACAAGAAAAGAATTAAGGCAAAACCTGAAAAGCCATAGGATCTGAAGGGTGTAGTTAGACGTACAATCAGAGATGTCAATGTACCATAAGATTTAAGTGTCTCAATTTTTTACATTTGTTTCAGAAGAGATTTATGGCTGTCTACGATTACACTGCAGCTGATACGGACGAAGTATCCTTCAATGAGGGTGACATAATTATAAACTGCGAATCAATTGACGAAGGCTGGATGACGGGAACGGTATCAAGAACAGGACAACATGGCATGCTGCCAGCAAATTACGTAGAACCAGCATAGAGGGCAAAGCCACTGACTTTTGTTTTATTACTACTGCTATAGTATGTGAATATTATAATTATTATTATACCCTTTAAATGTTACAATGCGCCTCCCCATTGTGTAAAATCGGAGATGTTGGGCGAGACCATTAGGTGTGTTAGTGAAAAGAGGTAGTGTAAATGATGGTATTGTTTTAAGACTTTAATGCCTTCAGCTGTTTAAATATTATGCTTATTAAAAGGATATTGCTATAGAATTAACATAACAGTGGCATAGGCAATTTTATAAGAATGCACTTGAATGATGAATAACTCCACAAAGTAAAAAGAAAAAACAAGATCTGTGATTGGTCAAAATAGGAGATGAAGAACTTGTTATAGCCAGTAGTGTTCAGTGTGACATACATGTATAATTTCTTTGGTATGTATTGATTATGTTTTCATTCAAAGTTTCAGCATTTTGTCATGTGTAAAAGGAAAGAGGGCAGTTTATTTGTGTCAAAACAAGGAAAATTTTGTGATTAGGTTGGGTGGTATAAACACAGTTATTGTGAAGGAATGGGGGAAGTACTTTTAATTTGAAATCACACGTAAAGGCTTATAACAGTGGGAGGTGGTGTTGAATTTTGCTTGGCAGAAGAAATTTTCAGAAGTGACCTGAAAAGTGCATTTTGAAACAGTATGGATTATCACAGAATGAAGTGGAAAATTGACATTGACAAATCCTTGTAAAATATTGATAGCGTGATCAGAATCTGCTATTATAATTTAAACCAATAAATTGTCATCTTTTCACCAGAATATTGCTACATGAGTAACAATGAAATGGGCATACAGGTTTTCTTTATGGCTATACCCTAGCTGCTGACTGGTGGCTATTCTGAGAATAGGTCCAGGAATATTCAGTTTCATCAGAATTATTAACACAGGAGGGGGTTCCATAAGTGATATTATGCACTATTAAATGTACTAAAATCCTATCCGTAGTAGATTAGATTTTTTATCATTTACCATTTTATTTATTTACTTATTTTTAATGGTATTTAGTTGCTCTTGTATATTTGTAAGCAACCAGCTCACTTTGCGTTTCATATCAGTATAGGCTTATATTACCAAATGGAATGCAGACATACTAAAATATGGATAACTATCTGTTTGCACTTGTAGCCAAATGGAATGAAAATAAAGGTTCATGTTATAATGGTTAATTGATAAATTACTACTTCCTTTCAATTCTAGTGTTCTGTTAGTTTAATTTAAGGAGAGTGCCCTCTTTTATCTTGCTCCAATTTTTATACCTGACTGTTGTTTTAGATTACGTGATTTGTTCTCATTTGTATAATTAGTTGATGTAATGGAAGGGAAGCTTTTTGATCTATATCATGTTTTGCCATTTTAAACATCCCAGTCTTAAGATTATTCTTCAAGAGAAGAGACTAGCTAAGGATGCTTTAACTGTTTAAAAGTTGCAGTTAAACTAGGCAGCCTATTCGATGTAAATCCAAGTATTCCATGATGTTGAGGGAAAAATAGAAAAAAAAATTTTTTTTCGGAATGTCAGGTGTCATAATTAGAAAATGAACTGTTTCAGGCGTTTGTTTCTTTGGTATACAATCCATAGAAAAACATAATTACCAAATCATCAATATTTTGAAGAGATAACCTTTAAAAGGTTATTTTACCCATGTTTTTTCACTTGAAAAAACTTGTCCTTTCTTGCACAGGTGTTAGTGTGTGACGGGCCAAATCTCGCTTGATTAGATAGGCTTTCACAAACATGCCCAGGTTATTCAACATGTAGCAGACAATGTTTAAGTGTTGATTTCTTTTATATGTTTATTTAAAGGGGGATGTCAAAGGCTATTAAACTAGTGTTAAATAAAGAGTAACTGTGGCTTTTCCTGGCACTGCGCCCTCTTTGACATGGGAAAATAGAAGCAGTAACATTGTCTATGAAAATACAAGCCTGAAAATTTTGAGGAAATTCTCACCAGACTACCGTGTCGTACATGATAGTTCGGCATGGGATGCACCGGCATATTAGAGAAATACTTACCTATGTAATGAAACATTTGTTAAAATAAAAGAATAACAGAAATTAAACACCCTGTGTTTTTTTGTTCGTTTTCGACTTGTATGGATGCATTGGCAATTAATTTGCATTGAGTGACTTATGCCTTTTTTGCATCGAGTGATACAGCTTTTCTGAACCGTTGCAGTTTAAGAAATTTTAAAAAAAGTCTGGGTGTTACATAACAGAGTCAAGCAAACGGGGCCCTCGCATACGACACTATTAATTCGGATTAATTTTGATAGATCCAAATGAAAAGTAATGTAGTGGAACTTGGATATTATTATTAAGCTTTTCTATTTCAAACTATTGTGGCATTTGGTTGTTTATCGGTGTAATGTGACAGAGAGTCCCCCATGATAGAGAGTCCGCCTCCAATTCATTTGTACAGGTAACACAGGTGTAACGAAACTGTGGGTCCGTGTAACAGAAAATCCGCCCTCCATTTAGTTATATTGTCTAGGGTTAGCCTGACCTAAGTGGGTCAAAATCAAGGGCGAGGCTTACCTGTACAAATGAATGGGAAGCGCACTCTATCAAGGGGGACTCCGTCACGTTACACCGGCAATCAAATTAAATTTGACTTGAGTAATCGTGTGATGAGCATTTTTTTTAAAGTGATTAATGATGAGATGATAAATCTTTGATTGGGATATCAATATTTTTTCCCGTACTCGATTGGATATATTTAACATGATTCTACGCTTCATTTGTTAATGGCTCTAAAAATACATATAACGACTTTAGAATACTACTGTGCTATAATGAAAAATCAGTTTGTATTTTGAACAAATTTTACAAAATCGAAATATGCACGCCGTAATCGGTAGATGGCCTACACTTTGCTTTATTTTCTGCATTATAATTGGCATGTTTCGGCGCAAATATGAGCGAAAAGCAACAACTGAAATATTGACAATGCTAGGTAGGGGATTCGCATTTTTTCCTACAAAGTCGCTTAGAAGGCAAAATGAAATTTTACTCTGCAAGTGATAGCCTCTCAGAAAGGAAAGGGATAAAGGTACTTTATAATCCCACCCGTCCATGCGCACAAAATTACGACTGTCTTTCGCCATCAATTCAACGAAGACACTCACTTCGGAACGACAATTCATTACATAATATACGATCGATAGCAGAGAGAGTGTTTACTCATATACTCAAACGCGGCAATCGTCAATTTCTTTAAATCATCTTCGCTCAGTTATGCCTCTTGTCAATAGATTGGTAAGCAAAATTCAATAATTCCATCGATTCGCATCACGCGCCGTTTCTTGCTTCGTCCTTGCTCGGGAGAATTCTGGGGTTTGGCAGATGCTTGCAGACGATGAACACGTCTGACGTCACAACTGATTGAATTTGATTCCGATTAAAACTCAGTCATTGCTGCCCTTTAGATATCATAAAGTAAAGTGTTTATAATTCAATCATAAAAACTAACTTGTGCAGCAAATTTCGAAAGAAGGAGCCGTCGGCGACTACCTGGCAGGATTGTGACGCAGTTGACAGCTTCATTATTTGGAAGTTACAGTCGTCTGATCGATTTTGAAGACTTTGCCCAAAGTTCAGAGACTTGAGGAATTTGCCTGGCGTCAGCCAACTAAAATGATATTCTTGTACTTATCTGATCCCCTCTAGGAAATATTGAAAATTACCTAGAGACTTGAGACACAAGATGCAGCGTGGGCAGATGTACACTTTGGATAAAATCAGGGGAAAAGAATTGTTGCCCACGAGATCATTGTAACTGTGGTGTGGAAAACATTCATTTTCAGTTGTGCAGACAAAATCAGTCGACGACATAAAAGATATCCAAGAATTTAATCTATTGTTTACTGAACGGATAAGGTAGGTGGATGTGTTTATTCGACATATATTCCGCGTATTGTATTTCAAGTATCTTTACTTTTAAACTGTCGCTGTAATTTGATTATCGCCGCATTTAAATGATAAAATTCGTTCTCTGACTGATATCTCCAAGTTCAGCATCCTCGCTCTTGTTGTCCACGAAAAAAGAGAAAACAAATTTTTATACTCTTCAGTATCTCTAGTTTCTACGTACATGTTTGTTAAGTTAAAGTTGTTATGCTTTTACCAAATTTTTGCGTTTTCAGCGTTTGTCACTAAGTGTCTCGTTGGTGAGCGCTGCAACAAACCTTTTTTTATATTTGATTACATTTATATTCACAGAGAAAGAGATCGACCATTCATTTATTTATTATTTACCCATAAGTTACAATCGGGCAGTTTTGAAAACATTTGATATTCAATTTTGGTTCGTCAACACTTAAGTGGATTATTGAGTACGCGCTTTGCGCGTATTGCTACTTTGCAAGATCTATGCGGACATACCTTTAAGTCAGGTAGAAAACTGTTTGAATGGGCTTTTCCGCCAAAACAATTCGTCTCCCTTTGCAATGCACAATATCATTTTTTGTTCATTTATTTGTTTCTATGTTTTTACGTAAAAACTACCTGTCAAAAGAATTCATCTCGGAGCGGATGAGGAAAAAATAGACTGACGGTCACCCCAAGTAGGCCAGGTAGAGCACACATTTCCACAAGGGTTATCATGATCCCCATGCATGAGAACTGTCATAAATCGTTTTTCTATGTATCTTCTCCGGCCTTACCAGGAATGCCCGATGTTTATGGCAAAATAAATTATGTTGCACTTGACGCCTCACAGCGGGCGCCTTTGGCAAAGAGGTGCAATTCTTTCTTTTTTCTTCAACATAAAGCAAGGGAAAGTTGATGTCTTTGCGATTATCCGAAACTGCGCTCATACCTGTCCTTAATTATTTATTAGTTAAAATTCATCTATTGAAGGTAAAAACAAAGTAAATATAAAATGTAACTTCCACCTTTTAATGTGGGGTTTCGTTATTAAGAATAGCAAAAAAGGGGGTTTCGGATACCGTTTTTCATCAGGTTTTATGAACGTTCAGTGGCAAAATGACTAACAGAATTTGGAATGAAAGGCTTTGAAAAATCGTTATATCTTCCCAAATATGATGCAAACCTTGAAAGTTTCACAGACTGAGGAGCGGTTGCTTGGTTTTGACTTTATCAATAGATTTAAGTTTAAAGCAATGAGGTCACAGAGTAGGTTGTCCCAATGCCTTACTTCATGCATGTATCTTTTACGCTAAAACAAAGCATAAATCATCAAAACCGCACGCATGTTTCTTTGAACTGAAGCATTACGTAATAACAAGCAGGTGCCAGAATATCAATATATCAAAAGAAATTAGGACCAGACGTACGTAACTTGCATATGCATACCTAGAGATGCTATCTGACCTGAAACTTTATTCAGTTTTTTGGGAGTTCTTCTGTGAATTGCCGGTATTTTCTTTTTTTTCTATGTACCGTATCATTGCCTTCATCATTAAATATTTTTATATCATTGTTCTTAGTGTGTGCGTGTATGTTCTTATTTAAGATTGCATCCACAGATAAAACATCTCTTGCTTTGACCACATACATGAAATTTCGAGAATATCGGTCAATGCTAAAAATAACCAAGTGGTGTGCACGAAGTTGAAGTATACGGAGTTGACGTACGTGGAACTTTGGAACACCGTATAACCAATATTTGGAGTGGAAAAGTCCCAGTAAACCGTAAACGAACCGGTAATAATGGCATCGTTTCCTGCTTTTGACTCGTATAAAAGCAAAAACGCCCTCTCTTGGTTTTCAGTTCCAGGTTCATACAATCAGGTATGTGAAGACACTTTTTCCCGTTTTTGTCATTTGTTTCGTAGATATTTTTATTTCATCATTAGTTTCCTAACTTTGCATAACATGGGGTTTCTTATCTTGCCATAATAAATTGGAGGTATGGATAAATCTAACGTGCTTACCTCTGAAGTTCCTTCCTCAATATAGCATTTTCAGAATAACTGATACTGAATCTAGAAGCCACACGAAGCAGTACGTGATAAGAACTGTCTAGCTCTAATGCATGTGCAAGTTCATTTTCTGAAACATATATATTGCTTTGCGCAGTAGATAAATACATTGCGTTACATCATTCAGTAAATAAATGATGAGAAGCAATGTATGGCGTAAATATTTGGTAAGCCACGAAGATTGTTATATTTAAAGCCCGTAACCTATGAGGGAAATATCTATAGAGATAACGCAAATGCCGATGCCGGTGGTTTTCGTAAAGCATTGTACTCCTTCATTCAGAAAACACACATTTGTTTGCTAACTCTTTTATTTTATTAACTCGGTTCGGAATATATGTCATCAATACGTGGTTCTCAGTTTGATCGCTTCGTTAACAACATAAATCTAACCAAAAATTTTATAGATTATCGACAAACATGTTTCCAAGATCATCTTCAATGCTTCTTCGCTTGGCACAAAATGCGTTTGAAGTACATTTACAAAGCGATTTAACTCAGTTAACAGACATTTCAGTAGAACATAGAAAAAGAAACAAAAGATTGGTAGCTAAAGATACTGAATTGCCAACACAAAACAAAAACAGAGAATTAATGATTTTACATTAACTTCATTCGATCTATTTTTTCTAATGTCAATAGCGTAGGTGCTGTATTAAGGCTATTTGATGGATAATGTATTGTTCTTTTGTACGTATGAGGTGATGAGCTACTTTGGGAGAGAGAAAACACCGGGAAGTATATGCCCGCTTCTGGAATCGTTTCTACCTGGCCTATTCTCTAGAATCGCGTGTGGGGATTTTCCTGACCTAATTCTTACCTGGTGCTGAATCACTCACCAGACCACTCATATCTCATTGGAATGGAAGTCCAGGATCTTCTCATAACATTAATAGCCATTACCAGTAAATGGAAGATCTTCCCATAAATTTTCTAGGTGGCAAGTGAAGAATATTGATATATTCAGGTTAACATTCCAACGTATTTGGTTCATTTACACATTAGATACATTTCAAGGAATTTCATAATCGTTGAATTTGGTGTGATAAAAATATATATACGTCGTTAAGGACAAATGATAAATGCGCCACGGGGTAGCATCAGTTTGATTGTATATTTTGTATAATATTTTAGATTAAATTATTATAAATTCTCTTGAAATAATTGTTCACGCGCGACAAAGAATACCAAATACAAAATAAATGTTGAGACACATGAGTGTTTTCGTAAACCGCAATGTTAAAATGTAAAATATTCTACGTCCTGTATTTAAGCATATGTTGAGATGTTACCTTTTTTTTTTTTTTTTTTTTTTTTTTTTTTTGCAAATTGATCAGATCAGATTAGCATGACCAGAAGAGCATCGCACCAAGACAGCAATTAATGGCAGATTCAAGAGGACCCTTTGCTCGGGTATCTTGAATGTGTCAGTTATCTTCCTTGATCTGTGCGCGATGTGGCATTTTAAGTTTTTCGTTGGCAGTCAAACGTTTTGAAAGCATGAAAATAGTTGGTGAAACGAAAAAAAGGTTTTTTTCATCTCATATAATTGTCAGAAATATCTCATGCAGATGATAGACTGATATTCTTTTCCATGCCTCGTTTTATATTCTCTCTGATGTATGGTAAAGAAAGACATATTGAGGCACACGCTTTTAAAGTGCGTGTATACTTTACCAGGTATTGGTTCTGCCATTTTTTGCGATTTTCAAAATATAGTTTGTCAGCAGAAAGGAAACAAAAAAGGACACTGTTTTGAACTATTAAATCAGCCTAAAAGCGGGTTTTCCGAAGCACCAATAGATAATGGAACATTTACGTTTTTTGTTTGATTACAACAATACAATGATAGAAAAAAGTTAATTCTATCCTGTCGTTAGTGGTATGGTAGAGACTAAATGTAGCATTTTTGACATTATCTCTCTATAATGGTGTAAAAATAAATAAATAAATTGGCCAATTGGTTGGTAAGAATACTAACTTCAGGCCCGTAGCCAGCAATTTAACAAGGGGGGGGGTTTCTTTTTCTGAAAAAGTGGACCTTTTCCCATAAAAACTTCATGTACTAGATCAAATTTTACCCAGAGTGGACCCTTTCCCAGCAAAAGGGGCGGTTCTTTCGAACCCCCCGAACCCCCCCTGGCTACTGGCCTGAACTTACTGCATGCACTTATTAGCACCGTCAAGCTTGGATTCACCGAATAGTAAAGAAATATAGGATTTCCCAGGCCAGAAAAAAATCTCTGAACTTTGTTGGTGTGAGATGATTAATATGACCTCAGGTATCCTAAAGGTGAAAGAAAAAAACAGGTGTGCTCACTAAAAAAAGCAGTCACAAAAATATATTACACCTTTACACATAATTAATCGCTACCATTTTATACGAGTTGCAAGTTTTCGATAACTGAAGTCAGAGAACGTGCATCGCGCGCCTATTCACGTGCATTGCTTGTCTGTTTTCTTTTCTTTTCTTTTCGTTTGTTGACTTTTGTACGTTAGTGCTATAGCAGATAGTGGCATGTTCCTTGCATTTTTATATCAATTTTTCTATAACTGATGTTTTCAATACAATTGATTACTTTTAGTCTGATTTGCACCGATTCTAATATTGGGGAAATATACAGCTGTTTGAAAATTTAGTTTAGTTGGTAAAATATTAATTCAATTAATAAGTGGCATGACATGACTAAAGTATCATAACTTGTACAGCGATTCTGTTAGTAAGAACACGCACTGATTTAGTTTTCTACAGTCGACGATAATGTCCTTTTTACGAATCTGAATTCAATTTCAACACCCAGAAGGAAGCCCTCTAAATTGGCACTATCCCATTATGTCAATTTTGTATAAAGTTGAACCGTCTACACCCAATTTTCTCCATAGAAAAGAAGCAATTACTGGAAGAGGATAGATCTACGTACAAGGGGCAACATTTTAACATCTTCCACTTGTCTGTATAGTTCAAAGTAATCTTCAAAATGCGCTCGTTAACGGTATACACTTACATACACTTACTTACACTAACTGTACTAGTAATGAAGGTGAAGGTACCTTGTACTTTCAGCATTGAAGAATTGCTACCTGTGAAGCCTCTTTCACTATAAGCTGACATTCATCAATCAAAAAATCCTGTCTATCTCTTCGATTTTGTAATTATAGATAAAAGACAACTTAAATTTAAGGTAACAATATAAACAGAAAGCAGTCACTCTTCATTAAACAGATCAAGTCGTTGTTTCTCACGCCCCGCTTATGCCTACCTAATTGAGCACGAGGAGAGATTTCAAAGAAACGTTGCATTAACTTAGAAAAAAAAGACTTGTCTACCTGATGTCCGTGACGAAAGGGCAATCGCCTTTCAAAAAGTAACTTCAAATGGCTTATACACCATAATTTTCTAAATACCGCATGGCGCCCACATTTTTTCTAGTTTTTTTTTTTCTAGTTTCATATCATCGTGAATGGGTAACCATGATATAAACTTCGACATTTTAAGTGATTTCCCATATTTTCAGACTCAAAGACTTTTTGGACAGTGTGCATTTCTTATCGCAATATCCCTGTAATGTTGAGCATGGTTGGTCCAATCTTGTACCTGAAAGATGTCCACAACCAAAGACATTATGTTCACAGAGAGCAAAATTTGTTCATAACTCTAAGCCCCTATCCCTCCCCAATGAATGCATTAACGACTGGAGTGAAATTCTGAAACAGTTAGTCATATTCAATGCCTTAAATAAAGAGCATAACATCGATTGTCATGGTATTGTTCGACATGTTGTTTTAGATGTAAATGGTAACGAAATGGCCTAGCATTGTACAGGCCTGTTATAACAACGTTTTGGTACGAGCGGGTACAATCTAGTTATGCTTATACCCGCACGAAAATGCAGTAGTATCGAAGTAGCAAAGAAGCATTAACGAAGTAGTGGTGTGGAGCATATTTGCAGTAGAAATGCAGTATAGCCTACTGCAATTCTACTCCAAAAAGTACATAGGTTTGTACAGAGAGGAGCATTAATGCAGTAGATTAGCAGCATGATAGGCCGCATTCGCATCGAGTTGGGCTATGGCTCTACAAAGCCACGACCTAAATATAGCGGACGTACATGGAAGGAAAACAGCCTAATCTTTTAATAGTCTCTCCGCCTCTCACAGGCCTCCCCATGTGTCGTCCCAATGGAGCCGAGATTTAATGACTGTACCCCCGCCGGGACGACGCATGGGGAGGCGTGTGAGAGGCGGAGAGACTATTAAAAGATTAGGCGGTTTTCCTTTAAAGTACGTCCGCCATATTTAGGTCGTGGCTTTGTAGAGCCATGGCTCAACTCGATGTGAATGCGGCCATAGAAGCATGTTTCAAATATGCTAATTAGCTCCCAAATCGAAGCAGATTTGAGGCATGTTTGCAGTATGATTGCAGTAGTTTACTGCGCTGGAGTATCTATTGCGTTTTCGTGCTGGTAGTTAGGTGCCATAAGCCAAAATTATAACTTACAGATATGGAGTACATACCAGCATACCTTTATTGTTTTATTCCTGCAAGGCTATAAACTAGTGATATGTCCTCCAGTAGCTGTACATGCGCTTCCAGACGGCGGGAAATATCTTACCATTATTTACTAACTTATGATTATGAAATACTGGATATGTAGCCCATGTATAATAATGCTACATTTCTATATATGTAATTTTGGTGCTATTTATCTATGTATTTTATTATTATTTTTATCATCATTATTATTGTTGCTATTATATCTCTGTACATTTTCACCAGCTCAGTCTGGTGCAGAAAGTATGAATAAAGCACTTACTGCTAGGCACGTGATCCCAGCATGACGCAGCTGTGTTGTAAATTTCAGCATTATAATTGGCTGTATAATGAGCATAGCGTTTTTTTGCTACATTCTACCAATAAGTTATATCTCATTATGACTTCTTGATTCTACCAAAGTTCATAACAGGTAGAACGCTTTACATACCACATGTACATTACTGAAATGTCCGTATTTCAGGTAAAGGGTTTCCCAGAATTATTTCTTGATGTTTTATCAAAACACCCCAAGGTCACTCTAAGCGTGTGCCTTTTAAAAGCGTGATGCTGTGGAAGGTTTCCATGTGCATATCTTTACAAAACATACGCGAGAAACACCACAGAAATTCATAATGCTTAAATTGACCACCCCAAAACAGATTTGTTATTGGCTGTATTTTCAGATAGCGTGCGACCACATGAACAACTTCCGCGTTTCAGTGACATAATACAACTGAACAGAGATACCCATGTCAATCTAGGACCCTTAAATATCGGAGTACATGTCCAGACAGATAACTTCGTTTTTTTTTCCTGAAAATTTTTGAATTACGGGAAACACAACACATGCACCTTTTATATTTTCCAGGAACCACATCTCAGAGTTAACAATATTGGACCAAGCCCTCCAATATCACGATAACATACCGGGAATCCAGCGAAAGAGACACAAAACCTTCACAATGTCCTCATCATTTGACCTGGAAGCAGTGCTGAGATACCAAAGAAGACGTAATGCGTTCAAAGCGGGCCACGCGTCAAAGAACAGACTTTCACAGGACGATGAGAGTAACCAGAAGAAAAAGGTCCAAGAATCGAGCGACTGGACCCCGTTTGAAGGAGTTTATGGCCGAGGTAAGTTCCCGCGTGCGATTTTTTTTTATTCGGGAATGCTTTTTAGATACCACGGATTTGTCACTTATTTTATAGTCTAATATTTCAGGTTCCTTAAGTATAGTAATGATTTTATTTGTCCGATTTTTCAAATTGCTGAAAGCAACGCACCATGACAATTTTAAAATGCCCATCAAAATACGATTTAAGCAGGAAACAAGAAAGCAGTATAGCACTATAATTCAAGAAATGTCAGGTTTGTACCAGTTAGAAGCAAATCGATGACTGCAATGTCACTAATGCGTAACTTATTGCGATATCGATATGGATATGTAATCGAAAATATCACTTTACTTGACACGGAACTTTCGGCAAGAATCACACGGGTTTCTTAGTGCACAACCATGTTTACTAGTTTCTCAATCGAAATCATTTGTACAGTGACTGTACATCCTCTACTTCTATAACAATAACAGAGCTTGAAATTGTATATAAGACAGCATCTGTGCTTTCCCTTCGATATTCAATATCAGTGAAGGGACGTACATATCATGTTGTTATATAGATACAGCTGTAGGCGGTGCTTACATGATTTCCCATTCAAACTAATGTGATATTGCAATCAAACTTATATGATCGGTGTGGTTATCAAATGCGGTCTGTCTGTCGGCTATAGGTTGTGCCTCTGGGTCCCAACCCAATGACCAGTTTAGACCCACCCCCACGCGTAAAAAAGGAACAATTACAGTACCTTCCAAATTTTACCTTTTGTGTTTCAAGTAATTTGGGGCAATGATAGGTTAAGAATAGGTGCAACTTTCACCCCTTTCCCTTTTCTACATTTTTAGGGTAACCCATCGTCTATTTACTGATACAGACTGTCTTGGAGGTTCAGTTTTTATTTTAGGGTACTCATTTTTTTATCATTGTTGCAACTGGTTCCGTTAACCATTCTAAATGAAATTTCATGATTGTATCTCTAGAAACGTTTTCCGTTAACCAGCATATTTGGAGCTTTTTTTTGTTCATGTTTTTCTCCAGACCTACTCCCTACCCCTCAGGGATCTGCGAGGACCATGCAGTTCTTTTTAGAATTGACCGATATTCTGATGGAGTATGTGCGCAAGAGCAACGATCGCTCAAGCAAAGTGAGTACCTTACCACAACATCAAAATTGATGCCATTACATCAAGCACAGTTCTATGGCGCCATTTAAAAATGTTTTACTCCATTATTTCCTTTAAAGTTAAGATATTCCATGTTGGAAACAGAGGGTAAAAATATATTTGAAAGGCCCTAAGTTCTCCCAGTACGAAGCATGTCTGAGCTGAACGCACGCAGACATATGCAGCACCATTTTTTAACGGGCTAAAAATTGACCATTGCGGCACAATTTAATTTCATTTACTGAAAGTTAAGATTAGAGTTTTAAAAAGGATGAAGATACCAAAATAAATGCGCCTTGTTTTTTCCTCGAGTTACTGTCATTCTTAATGTTTTGTAGGTGTTGGATTTCCACCACCCACACCAACTAAAGGAGGAGATGGGCCATTGCCTAGAACTCCCAGAAACTGCCAGAGATTTGGAACAGATTCTCAGCGATTGTAAAGAAACGCTGAAATATTGCGTCAAAACAGGTATGGACATGTAGGCTTATGATGCTGTTCTTTCCATCGTAATGAATATACTTAATACTTAATAAATTGATAAATACAAAGATCGATCGATTAATTATGAATAAACAACAAAAATATGTTAATTGTTTTCTCTATAAGGCCTTGCCCTAAGTGGATCTCGTAATCTGTAAAAAACATATTTATTTGGAATAAAATCAAATAGTTTAGAAACATTTATTTATGGAATTCGCTTTGATGATAGCAAACCAAACGCTGGCAAATTAAGTGTATAACTATCCTCATTTATAATTCATCTTTTCATAATCTGAGTGTGACATTAAGACAGCCAGTAGAGTGTCAATACCTTATTATATCGACCATCCCTCATGAGCGTAATCCTCTTACATACAGATATATCTAATTACCAGTCTAATTATTAAATACAATACTACTGAAGTAACATGCGCTAATAATGTATTTGTTTTTGCCTAATGAGAAATTATCCATGCTGATTGTAAGGGATTTTACTTGATCAATAACGCTTTTAAATTTGGAGTGATGTTTGTGATCCACATACAACATACAATCGCCTTAATTGGTGAAGTAAAGTACATGTGGTTATCGTATTATAAGTTTTTTGACATTTTGTTGTCAGTACAGTATGATATGTAAACGTGAACGATTCGACCACCAACGGAATAACAGCTAGATTAAAATACATCAGGTATCCATTTAATATGTTATAGTATTGTTTGAGTTCGTGTGCCAAACTTACCAACAGAGGAAAGTTATTTCTTACCTCGCGCCCTCTCTCTGTGCGTCTTTTGTTTGTGTGTTTGTGCATATAATAAGAATTTTTTGAAGTTTATTTATTATGCATAATAAGTTGCATCGCACTCCTAGAATACATTGAGTCATACGCTGAACAACTCCATTGCAATAGATGCCATGAAAATGGGAAAGAAACATCTGGTATCCGATAAAACCTGTCAAAATACGCCTACGAGTTGTTTATATTACCTCTAAGCCTTCCTTTTGCGTCCTTTCTGTGCTTTCCATGAGGCCGTCGCACCGACATCACTTCCGATTCAAACTGGCCAGTCTTAGACAAGATTTAGCAATCATGTATCTTTTTCTATGAAAGAAATACCTATCATATAGCTATAATTACATATTTTCTCAGGTCACCCTCGATTCTTCAATCAAATATCCAGTGGACTTGACGTCATCGCTCTAGCTGGAGAATGGCTTACCGCCACTGCTAATACCAACATGTAAGTTAGTATGCTGGGTAGAGGGGTGTTACCCCTCGCGTTTAAACCCCAGGGTGGTCCTTTCTATGACTGTTACCTAGGACCCAGTATACAAGTACAGTATACCGGGCCCTGGGGCAAAACCCGGTCTTAAGGACGTGATGGAAATCTTCCATCGGTAATGTCACCAATGATTGACTCGGAATTTGCTCAAAACCTCTTAAAAGAACACATGTTATTTTAATATTTAAAAATATCGAGTATAAGACTCACAACATTTTTCTTTTAAATGGGAATACTAATAAAAGGAATTTTGTTCTGTTCGTAAAGGTTCACCTATGAAATCGCCCCTGTTTTCACTCTGATGGAAGACATGGTGCTGCAGCGCATGCGCCAAGTGATCGGCTGGGAAGACGGCGATGGCATCTTTGCACCAGGTAGACAAAATTACTACATACTTGTATCCGAGTCTAGTTTGTATCGCCGTTTGCGTGAAAGACATTTTTCATCCCAGTCTAACAATGTATCCGTCCGACACTCTGCGGTCGTCTGTGTATCCTTCTCTTGATAAAGGACCCACCAACCAGTGTGGTAGGCTCGGGCGTAGGCCCACCTGTCTGACTGTACTGTGTCACTTTGTTAGTCTTTCTGTCTATCCTTTTATCCGCCCAGCCAAAGGACGGGAAGTTCTGTTCCTTAAATCTGTTAATTTATTTTATCATTCCATTCTATCTATCATTTGGCCTTCCTAGAGTTGATGTTGGAATGTCTGAAAACCACGTAAACGTACTAGAAAAAAGACAATAACTATCTTATAGTCGATGTATTTTTTCCTCAAATTTGGAAGGAGCGAACAAACCAGTAAAACCATTATATTCAATACAGTATTTTTCCTCGCCAGGTGGTGCTATATCCAATTTGTACGGTGTTCTGGTGGCCAGATTTCGTGCCAACCCTGATGTTAAATCCAAGGGCTTGAACGGGCTTCCTCGTATGGTGATGTTTACATCGGAGGACGTAAGTGAAAATTAATGATTACGTGTTACGGTGTACTTGAAACAAATTATATTTGGTGAAGGAGAGCTTATTGATATTGATGTATTAATCATTTTTAAATGATTTAAAAATTGAATTGCTGGTATCGGTCACTCAGCACTTAGTATGGCGGTTAATAATAAACTATGGTTTGTGTTGCCGTATCCTTGCTATTTCAATGCCGATTATCTCTTCCTTTTATCTTTAAAACATTGGACTTATCTTTTTCCTATTCCTATGAATATTGCTCCGCACTTGTTCTTGTTATTCCAAATTCATTTTGTGTTTTTCTATTCCAGAGTCATTTTTCGTTCAAAAGTGCTGGAGCCGTACTTGGAATAGGCACAGACAACGTGATGGCCATCAAAACAGATAAAAGGTCCGTTGCGCGCTTGCCCCTCCATATACAAACACACACACACGCGCACACACACACACACACACACACAGCGAGAGAGAGAGAGAGAGAGAGAGAGAGAGAGCGCAATGGACAGCACATAAAAGCTTTCTGAGATAAATGAGACAGGATGATGATAATGATGAGTAATGTTTTGTTTCAGAGGGAAAATGATCCCTGCAGAACTCGAGAAAGCCATAGTGGCCGCCAAAATTGACGGTGCTGTCCCGTTCTTCGTGAACGCTACCGGCGGCACTACTGTCTATGGTGCTTACGACCCCATTGATGAAATCGCCGATGTCTGTGAAAAACATAACATTTGGCTTCACGTTGATGTAGGTTTTTTGCGTCTTGCTTTTCTTAATTTTTCACTAAAAGACAATGGGTGAAGATATCTGTTTAATACAGCAAGACTAACTGGCCATTAGCTATTAGTACCTGAGGAGATGGAAGAATAGGCATTTCATACATGTCCATTCAAGTGTTTAAAATAGGGACGAGAAGTGTTTTACTGAGGCAGGTAATATTAATTTTAATTTTAAAAATGCCATGTGCTTAGACGCATATTCTCAGGTTTCCTGAATACCCTGCGCTCCAATGTGCTGAAGCCAGGTGTGTCAAATGCCGTTTTCTTTAAGTGAAGTTTGAATACTATTACTGTACTTTTGTGTTATGTTTCAGTGCGCATGGGGCGGTGGTGTATTGGTGTCTAGCAAACACAAACATCTGGTGAAGGGGATCCACAGGTAAGCATGTGTTCTGGATCATACCGGGCGCATCCAAGAAATCAATAATGGAAGGCTTTGCTTGTCTTCCCCTCTATCTCTTCATGATACATGTATCTTTGGAAAAAATATATATATATATATATATATATATATATATATATATATATATATATATACATGATTTGTCTTTGCCAACTAATTTGTCTTTGCCAATTAATCACTGTGTTTTTTGTCATTGCCATAAACATAATTCTATGTATTTCCCAGAGCCGATTCTGTGACATGGAACCCACATAAGATGTTGGGCGTTACTCTGCAGTGCTCGGCAATTCTGTTAAAACACAAGGTTGGTTCTTTTTATTATTTGATTTTAATTCTTTAAATGACTTTGAATTTATTGCTATAATGAGTGACATATCAGGAAAAATGAATCATCTCTACTCAGACAAGTAATAGGGCATTTTATCGAAAGTGAAAGCGTTCACCTCAGAATCGAAATAATACTTTTATTTTCCCTTTGGAATTTATTTACAAAGAAAATAATTACACAGTTTTAGTAATTTGACATGTTATGAGCGAACAGTTTCAAGAGAATAAAAACGAAAGCAAAATTTTAAACTTTTTTCATATCTTTGCAGGATCTTCTGGCACACTGTAACTCCATGTGCGCGGACTACCTGTTTCAGCAGGACAAGAACTATGACGTCAGCTATGACACAGGTGACAAGGCGATCCAATGTGGACGGCACAACGACATCTTCAAGTTCTGGCTCATGTGGAGAGCGAAGGTATGACAAATGTGGAGTCTTCTTCGACGGGTTTACATACATGGGTTATACATGAATAAGACTCATGTATGAACGTCATAGATTTTTGTTTGTTTGTTTTTGTCGATCGCATCATTCTTGTGGACGTGTTATTCTCTTGTTTTACAAGGTTCAGAAATTTATTGCAGAACATGCTGAGCAATGATTTACTTTATGACTCAGAATGCAGGTCTTTCATACTGGAAATTTGATCATTTCGTTTCGTTCTGATCAAGGCGTGCTAGATTCCGTCATCACATTATTCCAAAGTATTTTTGCCGTCATGTTACTTCTCTTGCTGTATTTTCTCAGACTTTTTAATTTGATTTGCTGCCTTAATTATTCGCAGTTGTTATGATTTTGTTAATGGAACACTTTTTTCGCCTATTTTGGGGCTTATTTTCAAATAAAGGTACATAGTGTCTACGGAATTTATGTCCCATTTTATAACGGAACTAGATCCACATTTTCGATGGGATTTAAGTTATATATCAACCATTGTTGAAAAAATACATAATTCAATAAAAGCTTTTTCGTTGCAGGGAGACGCTGGTCTTGAAAGTCACATTAACAGGTTGTTTGATCTGAAAAGGTTAGTGTTTATTTCATTGTGGAATATTTCGATTTCATTCTTAATCATAATGGCAGTTAAACTTAACTTCATGAATGTGTAAATTGATCATTGGTTTTCTTATTCCTAGTATTGAAGGGAAAGCAAACGCTGTTATTCAGGTTGAAATATTTTAAAAGTAATATTTACATATTTCCAAGACTAAAAGGAAATTGCACAACCTCACGCTTGCATTGTAAGTGACGCACACGTGACTGTCTCAAAATTACTTGGAGATCATGTCAAGAAGTAGTTTTGCAAATAAGTCTCAAGATCTCGTTTGCAGGAATTGTTTTTGTTTTTCTTGTCTGATTCGCTGTAAGCTCATTACCTTGCTTTTCTTTTTAGATACATGCTTGATAGGCTTGCCGCAAGAGAAGGCTTTGAAATGGTTCTAGAAGAGGTAAGTAATATGAGCAAAATAAAGATCATAACTTCAATTATTTAACAGTAAATGTTTACAGTTCTACTTGTGCTCTCAGCCGTGCAGCTTTTCAGTCATGTTTCCGTCAGTCATGCCTCCCTTTCCTCCTCCTCTCTCTCTCTCTGTAAAATTTGTAGCAATGCCTAATTTTTCTTACAGCCTGAGTGTACGAACATCTGCTTCTGGTATGTGCCCAGGTGCATGAGAAAGATGGCCCCCGGGCCAGACAGAGACTACAAACTTAACCTGGTAGGATAGAATTTCAGTAACGGGAGAAATATTACAGACACAGGTGGTTCGTTAAAAAATGGGTTGGGTTATAATTGAGTCTTCAAGTCAATCTTGTTTACTCAGTGCGCAATTAAAGGGATAATAACTCTTCGTGCGATATCTATATTTCACAATAAAAACATTGTGAACAACTCATAGAAATATAATATATTTTGTTTTACCACAAAAACGGCAGTTATAGATATTATTCTGATATCTGAGCTTGTCTTCAGATCACGTGACCTCCATTGATAGCTGTACTCTGATATAATCTCTTAAGAGATTTTAACAAAAAACCTAACTTTTTAGAAAAAAAAAACAGGGACTAACTTTGAATGTAAAAATGGATTCATTAACCATTGGTAAGTATGGGAAAATTGTTGTTCACTCTAGGAAAATTCATTTTTTGGCCAAAACGAAGAGTTATTATCCCTTTAAGGTTTTTATCAATTTGTGGTACGATTATCTACTTGTGCGTTTCTGTTCAAAAAAAGAAAATTTTAGATTTAAATTCTGAAGCTGTAAAATCAGGTATTCACAGTGACAATTCACCGTTTCGTCTATAGGTGGCTCCACGTGTAAAGGGTCTGATGATGGAGGCGGGAACTACTATGATTGGCTACCAACCTCACGGGAATCAACCCAACTTCTTCCGCATGATAATCTCCAACAACGCCTCCACCAAGTCCGATATAGATTTCCTGCTGGACGAAATAGAACGTCTTGGCGAAGAAGCTTCTTCCGAAATTTAAGACTGATCCTAACCTAAGTATGTTTTTGACATATTTAGTTCTATGGATTGCAAAATGGACGCTAGGTTTTTTTAATCCTTGGCAATTAGAACTCTGGTCCGCTTAATTGCATTATTCATTCTCTCTCTCTCTCTCTCTCTCTCTCTCTCTCTCTCGGGACAACTTTTGATCTAATTAAAAAAATTAAGAGAGAATATATCGCGTGTTGGTAATGCCACTTACGTAACTGTATAAAGTGTGTAATGTGATCTTTGTATATATTTTTCTCACATTCCTGTTTCTATGTCTGACCATCGCTATGAAACTGGCTGCTGTCGCTGAAAAAGGTGGTTGAACACCAATTAAGAATACCATCAGTTACTATAATCGGTTTTTTTAAAACAACAGCTAAGATCAGAATTAGTTCGTGTCTTTCAAATCTTATTATTTCACGAAGAAGGTTACTAGATAGACCCCAGAAACCGAAGTGCAAACAACTCCGATCTTAGTCGTTGTTTTGAAGAAACTTATGGTTTACATTAAGCTTGTTTGTGAGGGCCACCCAATATTGTAGAAATTAAGAATTCCGTTCTTGATAAAACGCCAGGCACAATGCAAGGTATTATAATATTGTATCTCCATTAGGCCTATAAATATTTAATTTTAAACAAGTCAGGGAACACTATTTATTACACATGGGTTAACATGTTGATCAGAACATGGGATTTTCGTGTATAGTATAGAAAAACTAAATTCAGTGTACATTTGTAGAATTCTGTATCAGATGTTCGGTTTCATTCACAGGTAGGCTTCTGAAATTGCCCCACAGATGTAAATATAAGTATCAATTTGGATATAGCTCCTGCTATATCTAACATTAAAATTAGAAACGTTTCGGTCAGTTTGAAATATTTCAAATTCTGTTTCGAGACGACTAAAATTATGGAAAATATTCTCAAGTTCATCAAGTTTTGATAACAGAAAAAAAAATACTAATTGCTAATCTATTTTAATAACATAAATTTGAAAATTTTAAACCAGTGGAATTCTTCGAGATTGTTATGATGATGTTTAGATGATTCAACAGGCCTAGTCGGGAAACTTCTAGTACATTATCAGCCTTGGTGTTTATTAGCTTGAAATCATTTCGAATCTCATTTTAACACCTGTAGCATTCCTTTGAATATGATATTCCACGTTCTTAGTGTGTGCNTGATGAAACATTTTATACATGACGCTTTAAATTATTATTCATCACGTCCTTTAACGCGACACTTGGTTCACTGATGGTGTTGAACTCTCGCGTGAGAAGACGCGAGTGGCATATTCATGCATCACAGAAGACTCATAATTCTAGTAATCCTGATTTATATTTCCCCTAATCAGAGTACTTCTATACAACTGTTCTACTTTCTAGAGTCGTTTAAGCAAATTTTGATCAAGTGTTTATCTTTTTTTTTGTTTGTTTGTTACCTTATGTCGTCTAATAGTAGGCCTATAGGATGTGTTCTCAGGGTTGAAGAGGTATAACGATTTTCTTTACAAACATATTATTGCTTTTTGACGATAAACTGAATGTTATTAGTTTGTTCAAACCTTTCTTTAAGATAATCAGGGCCCCTAAAAGTATGAAATCGTTTTATGGCTAAAAGACGTATTATTTAACGTATATTTCTATTTTGATATTGAATCTAGGACCCAATAAACAAAACTTTTTATTGGTCATTTAAAGTATATACAAAGTCACAAAGAAAATAATATTAGGCTATTCAAGAACAATTTCGAATCAGTGTATTTGAACGAAATATGGACCAGGTGCATTTTATCACAGTGATTTACTCTTGTAATGACCTCCCTGTTAAAATGTATTCAGGAAAAATATTCAGATTTTAAAATATGTATTAATGCTTTGAAATGTTCTATAAAACGTGTACTGTTTGAACAGGCTGTATATGTATATACATGTATCCATGCGTGTGTTATAATGTATATATTACAGAAGTATATAATATAATCTGCATAAAAATGAGTAAGAGCATTAGGTAACTGGTTTGCCGTTATTTGATCAATTTTGTTATCTGTGAATAAGGCCAGGTATAGAACCTATTTAATTTGGAGTCACGTCATTTGGTTGTTTAAAAAGAAAAGTAAAAATTAGTTCAAGTACACGTTTTGTTCTGTAAGCAAATATATTCGTTGCTATACCTGCTGTACTTGCCTTACCTGTTAAAAATGATAAAAAAAAGGAAAAAGGAAATAGACGCAGAAATTAGAAATGAATTTAATTCGCAAAATTCATCTTTGGTTATATTTTATACACGATTCTTTCAGTTATTAATTCTCTTTAATCTCTTTCTGTAGTTTATGACGCATTTGACGTTTTGTTGATGAAAAATTAAGTTGATGTACATGATTCACCGTTTCTTGGGTTCTTTTTTTTTTTTTTTTTTTTTACAAATATTGCTATGGTATAAATCGTTTGGTATCAAATGTCTCAATGTGAGCAATAAACCTTAACAAAATGTAGGCGTTGCGTTTTATCTTTCCAGCTATGTGTGATAAAACTGAATAAAATAAGCATAGACCTACTTGGTTACGCAGAGCACGCACACTGATATACACGCACAAAAACATTACAGGTGCTTTGTTCTATAAATTATTGAAAGGACTGAGAGATTCTATTTCTCAAAAACATCATATAGGTCCTCGTAGATCGCTCTGGACAACTCCGCGGGGACTTTAACTGAGTACAGTCAGCTGAACTTGATAACACGTCTTCTCTTCCCTAAGGGCGCATTCCCATAGATTTTAGATAGATCTATCCACGTGGGGAGTCTCACTAGATAACTGTCAGATAATCCGGCTTAAATGTCCTACCAGCCTGCTACAAGCTGTAAGGGGGTAGGCTAATAAACTTGCGTGCGCGGTCGAATGACTGCAATTTAGCGTGAAACCCTAGTTTCTCTGGAAATGCCCTCTTATTTCCAACTCAACGCTAGGAGGAGGCATGTCTTTCAGTTAAGCTGATTGCACTCACAGAGTTACATCAATCTACATAGACCAACGGTGTGTATAGGAATGGGGCCATTGTGCTGGGCGTGCTAAGAAAGTACACACTCTAAAGAGTCTCATATATATATAGGGTCGTGCAACAGTGAATACTTAGCTCAAGTCAGTGACGCACTCATTTTGTGAAATATTTACATAGCTATTTAATTTCACTTTCTTATTACCGTTGATTTTTTTCCTTATTGGAGGCTAGGCTTCTGTAGTATAAAACATCAAACTATTGGGTCAAGTCGTAATTAGGCAAATATTCGACAAATGTGCATCCCATTGACACGACTCAAATCTCCGCTTCTCTATGGAATGACCCTATTTCAACCTTGTGAACAGGTAAATTAACAGATCTAAAAGGGGTCATACCGATACTTCCCCACACCGTTACTCCCCCGCACCGATACTTCCCCTTAGTAATTTTTTTCATTATGCACATCGATACGGCCCCACACCGATAGATCCCCGCATCGATAAATCCCCTCTAAAATTGCCGTTATACGCGAACCGTTACTCCCCGCACCGTTACTCCCCCTATGCAATTTCCACGAAACCGAGGGTGTGGGTAACAGAGAATCAACCCTCCATTTCGTTATACAGGTAAGGGTCAGTCTACGTAAGTGGATCAAAATCTAGGGAGGGGCTTGATTACCTATGCAAATTGATGGGAACCGGACTGTCTATTATGGGGGAGTCTGTCACCTCACATCGATATTGTTCCACATATAGATTTGATAAATTGGTCAACGAGTCGGAAGCACGGCCTACACTGTATAAGAGATACTTTTTTCAAATGGAAAAACGCTTTGGATATTGGTGAGACGTGGAAATCCTTGGTGATGTTGGTTTTATGCTATTGCTCGGTGCATACAAATCTTAATTGCTTAAAATTGAACATCGGTAACGTACAAAAGAAGCCGCAAAGTTCCTAAAAAAATCTTGGACGACAACACATTAGTCTCGGTCACAACCGGTCGCACGGGCTCTTACGACCCGTTTGAGTCCAAATAAGCACGTACGGAAGATATTGAACATTTCCAAAAGATTCTACAAATAATCTTCGAACAGCGAGGCCGCAAGCGTAAGTTGCTCCCTTCGCAAGGAGTTTGCAAGTGAGACTTGCGTGGTCCAAGAAGCACGTCGCAAGCAATGAAGGAGAAAGTGCCATTTGCGTGTTGAGTACGGCGCACGCCCTCACATCTATAACGAAGTAAGTCGAAAATACGGCGGGACTGCGAGTATAAAGCCAATGTTGATGTTAACGTTAGATATTGTATGTGTGTTCCTTTAAAATGTTGGGATTATTTTGAGCACAGCTTGTACGTGTGCATGCACGAATGTTTGGATTTAAACTTTATCTGCGTCTTATAACCTTTTATTTACATATCAAAAGTACTGCTATTTCAATTTCCTCTTAAACTGTTATCAATCACTTAGAAAGGTGACAAAGTAGCACAGCTACATTTGTGTATTTACAAGTAATGATAATAAACAAATAAATAATTAAAGACTCAGATGTATGCAAAATAAGCAATTGCTCCAGATTGTTCCAAAAGCTATGGTCTAAGAATTATCCATTTGTTATTAGGAATCAATTTGTATGGTTTTCTCAATATTACCAGTTATAATATTTACACTATGCAAAAACAACAGAAATATATGTATAAAAATCATAATTTTACAAATTACACAAAATCACCGTATAATAATTAAAAAATGACAAAACTGCTCCAAGTAAAACACTTCACTGAAGAGGCAGCACTAATCAACATATTTGAGGGTATGTTTTACTCCAGTTGACTTAAAATTTTTTTTTTTTTTTTAGAGTTCAGACCAACCGTGAAGTTGCCATATATACAAATAACCTGTAACAGGGCTCATACCAGTATCAGTTCTTAATCGGTAAAATAGCTGAAATTCTTTAGTCAAAATAATACTAAATTGGCATTTAATATTGGGATTTTTTTATGTTGAACTTCTTTTCTTCAGCCAAAGTTGGTTGTTTACCTTTGATGCACTTGGCAGAAAAAAAAAATTCCTGCCTGAGCCAAATCTATTCACTAATTCTCAGCAAAATACAGTATTTAAATATAACAAGTCAGTCACCAAATCCTGGTGGTGAGGGCCACTAAGCATCTATGACATAGTTAGGATGCACAACCAACAGAGGGTCCTCTTCCCTGTGGAGCTGGTCTTCCTCTTGTTTACGACCTTTAATACCCGTCTGGCTGAGCTCAATTATGACATGGTCCTAGAGTGAAGAGTATACTTGGAAATAGTCAGAGGAAACGTATTCAAATTTACATTGGCAGTAATGAAAGATCATGGTCCTAGAGAAATAGTCAGAGGAAAAGTATTCAAATTTACATTGGCAGTAATGAAAGATCATGGTCCTAGAGAAATAGTCAGAGGAAACGTATTCAAATTTACATTGGCAGTAATGAAAGATCATGGTCCTAGAGAAATAGTCAGAGGAAAAGTATTCAAATTTACATTGGCAGTAATGAAAGATCATGGTCCTAGAGAAATAGTCAGAGGAAACGTATTCAAATTTACATTGGCAGTAATGAAAGATCATGGTCCTAGAGAAATAGTCAGAGGAAAAGTATTCAAATTTACATTGGCAGTAATGAAAGATCATGGTCCTAGAGAAATAGTCAGAGGAAACGTATTCAAATTTACATTGGCAGTAATGAAAGATCATGGTCCTAGAGAAATAGTCAGAGGAAAAGTATTCAAATTTACATTGGCAGTAATGAAAGATCATGGTCCTAGAGAAATAGTCAGAGGAAACGTATTCAAATTTACATTGGCAGTAATGAAAGATCATGGTCCTAGAGAAATAGTCAGAGGAAAAGTATTCAAATTTACATTGGCAGTAATGAAAGATCATGGTCCTAGAGAAATAGTCAGAGGAAACGTATTCAAATTTACATTGGCAGTAATGAAAGATCATGGTCCTAGAGAAATAGTCAGAGGAAAAGTATTCAAATTTACATTGGCAGTAATGAAAGATCATGGTCCTAGAGAAATAGTCAGAGGAGACGTATTCAAATTTACATTGGCAATAATGAAAGATGATGGTCGTAGAGAGAAGTGCACACTTAGAAGTCAGAGGAAAAATATTTTAAAGTGTATTGGCAATGATGAAAGATCATTCTTTTGTTTTACATTTATTAAAGTTATAATAATTATAAAATTGAATAAGTATTTTTCCATTTGGCTAATATATATTAACCTTTTATCTATCTTTTTTATTTTTGTCAGACTTGTGCCACTTTCAGTGTCGGGAAAGTAAGATATAACAAATTGCAATTATTCCATTTATTTGGTGTTGCTGCAAATTTTAGCCGAATCAAAAGCTATTCAAAATATTAACTGATAAATAAATTCCTAAATCTTTATTATTTACTTACATGGTGCACCAGCCTGTAAATGACCTTTTCAATGAGGGTCTTCTTCTCCATCAGCTCTGCTTCTGTCTCTATTTCACTCTCAATCTCCTTCAGATACCAGCTGACAACATCACTCTTCCTCAGGCCTGCCGAGTCTGCAGCTGTAATGTAATGTAATGTAATGTAAGGCAATTTCTTTTCTTAGCTGTCCTCGATCATCATTTTTCACTCATATTTATATTCTAATTTTCACTCCACGTCCATGCAGTACACAGTTTTCTTATATTTCTTTTGGACCCATTTCACTTTGTCCTCATATGCTAACACACTTGCATATATTCTCCTTCTCTCTTTCTATCACACTCATGCATACACACACACACACACACACACACACACACACACACACACACACACACACACACAACCAACCAGTAATGTTGAATGCTCTCACGTACACACCTATAGTGGCCAAATACTATCAGTAATGTGTAGCTATCGCAGAAACAAAACAGCTACCAGCAGAGGATGAGATCAAAGAGAAACCTCACAACTGAACCCGCAGAGTAAAGAAAGAGGGAACACCTGAAGAAGAGAGCTGGAAGCTGAAACCAAGAGACGAGGGATGAACAGGAAACAACAAGAGAGAACACAAGACAGTGAGGGCTAGGATCTTGTCTGTGGCCTACGGTCCAACAGGGACAATAGGCATTAGTAAAAAAAAAAAATGTATGCAAACCTTCTGTTTCCTCCTCCGTCTTTCTCATATACAGCGTAATGAGGTTAGCAATCTGTTTGTATTCCTCGTACGTCATCTTCATCCCCTTCTTCTCTTGCTGGCTCTCCTCGGGAGACGTGTTTTCTTTATCTGACTGCTGGCTGGTTACTGTGTCTGGACAAATAAATATTGTTATTAAATTCAACTTTTTCGTTTCAAATTTCACTATTACATGCCATTGTAAATTATAGGCCACTTTCCAATTATACACCTCCTTCATCCTATGTTAAATCAGTAGTAGTAAAATCTAATGAAATATTGCACATTTAATAACAATTTAAAAAAACAGCTTCTATTTTACACCAATATATTATATCTCATCTTTTCTAGTTGATTCATGCTTATTTATCCTGCACTGGAGTGGACCAAAATTTTGTTTTCAAAGTTAAAGACAAATTCTCGGACAAGTTCTCTCTCAAAATTTTGTTCCACTTCAGGGTGAAACAGTCCCCAGATGGAGCCTATGTTCATACCTTCATCATCGACCTCCATCTGTCCTCCATCCTCCTCCTCTTCCTCCTCCTCGAGGTGAATGTCAGGCTGCTCTACTCGGATGATAGATTTGTTTAGAAGGCGAAAAGCTTCCTTAACATGCTTTGGTTGGACCTAATGAGAGATACAATGAAAGTATCAGAGCAAATACAGGTGTGGGCATAAGATGCTCTTGTTTTAATCAAAATTAGTAAATTAAAGTGAAAATAACAAAAACATTTACAGAGTTTGTACATATTAAACATTGGAACATTTTAAACAAGAACCAATATATATTTAAATCTACAATATTATTTACGGAAAATATGTTGAAACTTGTACACTTTTTTTCATAATATTATTCCTTGATTCACCACTGTTTGCATTTATCAGTACATTATCATACAATATCTTGCAACTTTTAACATCTTTCACCCAAAAACAAAAAATCCAACAAAAGGAGGCAGATCCTATCTCCGTAGAGATATTGCAAGTTGATGATTACCTCATCTTGACAGTGCATCCTGGCCATGGACTCAGACAGACGGATCATGCTCTCCAGCTGTCGCACCGTGATTCTCCAGGCTGACCTGACAACGCCGGAGCCGTCGCGCTGACGCAGTCTACGATATTCCTCCACCATGTACTCCTGAGCCTCCTTGTTGATCTAGAATTATAAATGACTTTTCTAAAACATCCTAACCAGTGATTTATTCTAAAATTGATCTTGTTTTTACACAAGTTCAGTAAAATTTTCCATTAGGATCTTTTTTTAGCACATCTATGATAGATTATTAAGATTTTGTCTTATTCCTCACTGGTAATCAAATAGCTTTAAGTGGTACATGCCAATATAAACCATAACTTATAACATTAAATAAACAGATCTAGTCATTAGTCGAGGGCCTTAATAGTTCTTTTTTTTTTTTTTAATAAATACATTATTGTCCATAGTGGGGCAACAGCACAAACCTTAGGCTTAAACTGTCGTGCAAAAGTGATGTATCTGCTAATGTCTTCCACTCCGTAAATTCTTTCTATGGAATCATCATTCTTGCTGTGAAGATCTACTATCCTGCGGGCAATGGCATAATCTGTTACCTGCAAAACAAACACCAAACCTCTACCTTATAACAAATGAATAACATAATAAAAAGTGAAAGCATAACACTTTTGCCTTTTATGGGGATAGTACTAGTGAATTTTTGCTTGAGCAAAATTGTTTTTAACAAACCAAAGGCAAAGTGCTCCAGTATACGTTTAGAAATACTGGAAAACTTTAGTATTCTCAGTATGAACATGCACCCTTTTATTCCTGACACAAAAAAACTTACCTCATTGCATTCATCCACAAGAATGAAGAAAAGGTCAAATCTAGACATGATAGGAGCGGACATGTTGATGTTGGATCGGAGCGCCTTGGTCCTGTCATATCTGCCACCTATAGGATTGGCTGCAGCCAAGATGGATGTCCTAGCATTCAAAGTTGCCTGGAAAAGTAAAATTAAATACATATGTCTTAGGAGACAAATAAAAACTGCTTTTAGCATTTATAGAGACTTTTACTAGACTGAATAAAATACTATCCCATCTCTTCATCATCCATTTTTGTATCACGCCTAAGATTTGCAAGTAAAAGATGACGTATGAAAGACACACTGATATATCACAATAGATCCCAGACTGTCAGCCTACAAAAAAAAAAAAAAAAAAAAAAAATATATATATATATATATATATATATATATATATAATACAAATGCACTTGAATCTGTAGGGCATCTATTTTTACCAGCAGATAAGGTATACACACCTTGACACCAGCTTTTGTGATGGAGATGGTCTGTTGTTCCATTGCCTCATGAATGGCCACTTGGTCCTTGGGGTCCATCTTGTCAAACTCATCGATGCAGCAGACACCCTGGATAAAATATCAGATTCCTTTGTACATAATCATCAATATAATAATAATATATTTTTGGCTTTGTATTTGAGCCTTGCTTTTTAATTCTGATGAAAAAATCTGAGTGGATAAGGTAAAAGAGAGAGGAATTTTAAACACTCTTTTAATGTTCTTTATTGTGAGAAACCATAAGATTGAACAAGAAATATCTTAGTATACACAGTTTCATACAAACATACACCCACATGAGTGCATGTGTAAACAAACACCACTTCACTTACATTATCTGCCAACATGAGGGCTCCAGCTTCTATGACAAACTCGTGGGATTCCTCGTCCCTGACTACAGCTGCTGTGAGACCTGCAGCACTACTTGCCTTACCACTGGTATACACAGCCCGGGGACTGAACTCTTCTACTTGTCTGGAAGGAAGTTCATTACTGACTGGTCAGTTCCATTAATGTTATTGCGATTTATTTACATGGTCTAAGAAAAGTACATTTAGTAAAGAATTTTATCAGCTTGGCTAAGCGCCCAGTTTCTAGTATCTTTTCTTCACAACAGCAGCAAAAGTAAGTTTTTTGTTTTTTCATACTCCAATGTATTGATGATTATCAAGTCTATCAGGTCTCTTTCCCTGTAAAAGGCAACTTGACATACACCAAAAAAGAGTAACAACCACATGGGACATAAGGAAAAAATAATTTCCCCCCAACTTAATTTTTGACAATCTACTGGACCATCAAATGCTGACCAAAACAACCATAGATGCAACAAGACATACTCTTGGTGTCTTTAATTAACAATATCTCTCACTTACTTTAAGAACTGGCTTTTGGCCGTACTGGGGTCACCCACAACACAGACATTGATGTCGCCACGAAGATGTGTGCCCTCTTCTGTCACCTTGGGGACTCCTCCAAACAGCATCAGCAGGATACCTCTTTTCACTTCATCATTACCTGGAAATTTTACATGGAAAAGTATCAATAAATAGCTTTGAAAGAAAAAGCCAGGGGTGTTACGGTAACAAAAGAAAGGTCATGTTTCTGGACCATTAAAAGTGTTTCAGAAATGGACATCGTCGTTTCAGGAACACATTCTGCAAGAGGTCAATGGAGAGCGGAAAAGTCATAATTACATCAAAAGTCAGAAATATCTTGAGCAATCAGTCCATACTTAGTCTAATATTTTGCGTGAAAAAAGATAAGATTGTTAATCTTTAGCTTTTCATATTGAAAAGCTAATTTTAGGTAAGGTTCAGGTGCCCTTATCATGAATATTAATAATGTTCAAAGTGCTCCTAGGAAAGAACATTTCCTTACCATGTATAGTAGGAAAAAGGCTTGAACACAAGTTATTATACAAGTTCTTGTCTCTGCTCATTTCGTAAACTTTCTGCCATTCTTGCTCAGTCATTTGTTTCTTTATGGTCTCTGCAGTTATTTCTTCCTCTCGCATGTTATGTCCTCCAAACTAAATTGAAAACAACGGATCATTTAAACATGATTTTCTTTTCTCTTTTGATTTTAGTAGATGTGCTTAATTAATCCAGCATGACAAAGTTTAGAGAAATGTTTTACATTATCTACATTTGACAAAGACAATGTTGCATCCTCTTCATGAAGACACTTCTACCATCTTAAGTCGATAGCAGCATCAAGAAAATACATATATATACAATTACATTATCTGAAATGGAGTGCTATCAACTTTTGTCATCTTACAGACACAATGTCAGACATTTTCTAGACTCACCCTGCGGTCACTGGGCATGGCTGTGCAGGCCAGAAAGGCCAGTCTATAGGACAGGTCTCTCACACCCAACGCCTTGAGACCGCGCACCCCCTCAGACTCAAAACCTTTGTTGCCATGGACACGACTGCCTGTCTCGGCCCTAGCACCTAGATGAGAGAAATGAAACTTATTAAACTGAACAGCATTTTGCATTAAAAAGTGCAAGTAGTGAGCAAAAATCTATAAAACAGTACCAAGATGAGTCTTTTTGGCTCCCAAAACGCGAGGAAAAAAAATGCCCATAGTTGTTAAAATCTCCTTACCGTTGTTAGCACCAACACCACCCAAAGAGTCTAAATCTGCCCATAGTTGGTATCTTATCCTTAATAGTAAGATAACTTCATCACTTGCCTGGCTGAGATATCTGTGCCACATCAGGTACCACAATAAGAGTTCCAATGAAGTCACATTTGTCTCCGGCCTGGGCTGTCTCCACTGCCTCTGCTCTCAGGATTATCTCCACACTGGAGATTAAATGATGCAATGTAAAGTTTAAAGGATCTTTTTTTAACATGGTGAATTGTGTGAAAGTTCAACAATTGCATCATGGAATTGTCTGCAGTTAACATGATGTGCAATACTTTACTGCAAAATTATAAATGAAGATAAAATAAAACAACAAAAATCTTAAAAATAGGTAGAGATAAAAAAAAGCAATTTTCCTACATAAATTAAGTTAATAATATGTCATTAAAATCAATGAAAATGACAGCAAAGGAAAAAAATCTCAAAAACCCTTCACTTTTCTTGTTTCAATTGATATGTCTTTGCTTATAGATGAGTAAAGCGTATCAAAGTATTTCTACATCAAATCCTTTATATACCTTCTGGGGATGCTTCCCCGGGGCAACTCTGCCTGTGTCTCCTGGATCCGAACCTTCTGGAAGTCTACGAAGCGTGATTTGTTTACGTCAAGCATAAACCTCGACCTGTTGTTACACACAGGGTTCCTGCATATTGACGGCTGAAATAATGTAGTGAATGGCTCTCACGTCACAACAGTTACAATTTGGTCTAATTATTCTGCCTAAATATGACTGGTGTCAGAATTATTACCTCTTTGAGACAACCATTTTTCAGTTATTATTTTCTGTTGTTTCTAAAGTGTTTAAATGACAATCAATGTCTATGTAAATCAATATATACCAAAGCTAAATGCATAAATTAAAAGTTGCACAAGCACCAACCTGAATACATGCACAGTGACCGTCTGAGGTGAATTTTATCAGCTATCTCTTTCACTTTCATTTTTATATTATGCAAATAGACTTGCATGAAAAAAGGGGTATTCTATGACTTGCCACTGATTATGGAACAATGCAAACTATAGGAATCCACTTTAAGTAAACATATGCACCATGTCTTGAAACCACAGTAAAAAAAAAATCTTGGTGACAGTCTGACAGTCACCCTAGTCTCCCTACCTGAGTGTACTTAAACTGCTGTTCCACATCTTTAATGACAGTCTGACAGTCCAGGCACATGAATGTTCCACTGACCAGCTCTGGATGGACGGGATGAGTCCTGACCACTTGACCACTAATTCTCAGCAGGGTGCCTATCTTGGAAGTGTTCAGGTCACGCACCCTGGTGGTAAAGAAATTTAAACATAAATCTCTGGCTCATGCGTAACAAACCACAACAGATTAACATTTACTTTTACATGATACATTTCTGCAGATTCAAACTGAGAAGTTCAGACCATGTTAACTGATAATTTTTGATATTATGCATCGTGTTCAGATACTTAAATATTAAAATTAGAAAAAAATATGCAGAAATATATTGATAAACTGTGTCGATTCCATTGTATTTAAGGACATATTGCAAGTATATCTTTAACATTCTCAATGAACTTGTACTGAAAATGAAGTTAAATATCAACTTACTTTATTCTGGTGGGCACATCTACAAAGCTGACATAGAACTCTTTGGATGGAGGCACATTACCGCGGTCTTGGGCAAAGTTGTGCACCGCATTGCACAGGTATGGGTACACCCTAGAATACAAACATATTGATAGCATTTATTAATAAAATACTACTGCAATCAAAACCCTGTATATAATTTTGACTTCATTTTTTGAATAGCCTATACACTTATGCTATATAGATCGTGCTTATACATTTGGTATTACCTGTAGTACTCCTCCAAGATGGTTGTGGCCAGTCTCTGGTTGTATTTCTCCACATCTTCAAAACTGACTGTCAAGGTATTACGCTCAGGGCGAATCAGCTCCTTTGCTTGGTCAAGATATTTCAGATCGTCTTCCTCGCCACAACTGAAGTACGTACGTAAATGTTTAATAAATAATTCCATTTAAAAACTTTTGTACCAAGGGAATCAGGTGAAAATGTACAGATCTCATGACAAATGCAGTGGTTCAAAATGACAAATCAGTCAGAGAAGTTGTGTAAATTGATCAAAAATCAGAAAAAATATTTACAAGATAAATTTAAGGTAATTGCATTGAACAGCACATGATAACCAATCCGCTGACAGGTGTAGAATCCATATGTCTTTAGCTTAATGTTGACATCGCGCTGCCATTTTTAAAGCCCCCACATGGGACTCGATCAACTCTTTAAGTTAACGTATTAATTGGTACTTACGCCTCTAAAAAGTCTTGAAATAACTTCTGACATCGCTCTCCAAGTTCATCTTTGACCACATTAGTTCTCACTGCTTGTTCGGCGACATCCATCGCTATATTTAACGGAATTTACGCGGTGCTCGAGCTGTGATCAAGCCAGGCTTTGTTGACGTGCACAATTCGCGCCAAGTCGATCACGTGGTTTATGTTGACCTAAATTAGAAGAGAAAATCCCGCCAGCTGTTCTGGTAACCAAACGTCTTCCCAACATCTCCATCTAAAAAGTTTTTATTTAATCATCTTATCTCTTTTTCCAGTAAAACGAATTTCTATTTCAAATTGCAAACAAAAACAAACCAGATATGTTTTGACTACAATTATTGTGTGTAAAAAAGTAATGTCTAAAACATTTGCAGCGTGTCTACCTCAACATGGGGAAAGGCAACAGCTCCTGGACACCAAAAAATGGGAATTTTTGTAGAAGGGCTGTACATATTGTCCACGTGGCGGTGCCAATTTGTTGGGAAGACTTAAAATCGATCACTCAGTGATATGCTTGCTTAATCACTGGCTTAATCTCTGTAATTTTAGCGGCTTGGAGTTTTCCCCCCTGACGTCCAACAATCAGCTCCCCTCATAGTATGAGTCATAGGCCTACATATGTAGGATTAGAGCTCATTGTCACCCATCCATTTTACCTAATAATAATAATAAACTTTTCTTTTCGTGTGGCCCCAGTATTGAGATTTGATAGCCTACATGCTTGTTCATCATTATATTTCCAGACTGAGTATAACACTAGGTATGAGCAAGGAGTTATAACAGAAGGAGATTACACGCAAGCCTTTCTATTGTCCAATGTCTGTTACGGTGGGCGGAGCTAGCTACGGGGGGCCTCCGGTCTCAAGGCTTCGTCTGCGTCGCTCTCCTCAGCTTGGAGATAAATTTCATATGCGTTATTTCGCGTTAGAATTCGAGATCAGTAATGTCAAAGCGCCGCTGTATGCTGACGATTTTTTTCACAGGTAATTATTTGGACGATGTGCTGGAAGGGAACGATATCATAGAAAGCGATTATAAGGTGGTGACTGAGGATGGTCGCCATGAGCTTTTTTTAGTCGGTGATAGATGGCTTTTTTATGGCACAACCCGGTGAAAAATCACCAAGGAGAAGTCAAAAGAAAACGTCCCAACTGTGGTTTGTGAAAATGACATTCAAGTGAACGTCTGTCCTCACTGCCAAAGGACATAATATTAATACATTAACGTTTGGA